AGACAATTCCAATTAACATTGTCGAAGGCTTTTTCAATGTCAAGCTTGAAAACCAAACCCGGCTTGCCGCTCTTTCTCCTACTATCAATTAACTCGTTAGCTATCAAAGAAGCTTCGTGGATTACTAAAGCCTCCACAACTTAAGAAGGTCCTAAAAGAATCTAGAACTCTACCTCCTCTGCCAACTTTTAACTAATAACAATAGTGAAAACAGGAACAACGAGAATATCCTTAACCATCTCAGAAAGAATATAATATCTCATCTCATTTCCTGACCACCATCCCAATATATCAAACTTGTAATCATCATCTTCAAAACCGAACACTGATTATATAACCTCCTCATCATACTCTTCCTCCTCAAGATATCATTCAAACTCAGATATAGAACTCTTTCTAGTTCCTTTACGAATGGCCTCTCCTTTCTTCTTCTTGAACTATCCCAAATATTTTTTTTTTCAAATCCCTACTTCCACTACCACATTCATACTGTTCTGATACCACAATGAGAGAACTACCATGAAGTCCAACCTTATGCTTATAGTGCTCAAACATTTAAAAAAATATTTCATCTTTCACCTCCGCTATTAAATTTTTTCCTATCTTCACCATAAACATTCTTCAAAACTTTTTCAAGATATTCAAACTTGTGAATAGGATCTAATACAACTACCATGTAGCATAATTGATTCATCTTGCAATTTTCATATCTTCTCAAACCAATATTTGGCTAGTTTAGACTTTATTTTCATAGCCATGAAACACACTTCATAATCCATGTTATCTCCCCACTTAGAAATTATAGAATGCATATCACATATCTCATCAAACATGAGGGGTAATGTCGCATACAAAGTATAAAAAACACAAACATTTAAATCATAGAAGAAATTAACACAAGTAATCAACCGTCCTACATTTCCCCAATTCTTGGAAGTTAGGATACCAAGGCTTTCATTATTATATTTCTTTTGATTCATATGTTTATTGAAATTACTCTCATTTCTAGCCGATGATTAAAATTCATTCTCAGATGGCTGAGAAGATTCCAACATGGGAAATGTAAAGTTCGACCGTGTAGGTAAATCCAACGACACAAGCATTTTCGACTCTATTTTTTCAAATGCAATGCAGTCTTGGAATTTCCTGCTCCTGGAAGGTGTATCTCTAACCCATCTCACACACAGACTCTCTCATTCTTTCCACATATATATTAATTTCTTTAAGATTATCATTCAAATCCAAATTTATAATATGAGCCACACATCTCATCTGTACAGGGATAGAGCTAGGTGAGCCCTCCCACCCCCCCCCCCCCAGAATTTTCAACTTACGTATAAGTTTTAACAAAATTTGAATAATTACATATAAACAAATGTTTATGTATGAATACCACCGTGTGAAAAGTATACCAACAGTCTCTTTCTATCCTAGCGGTAAGTACCAAAAACAAAAATATTCAAATCATAGAAGAACTTCAAATAATTAATCAACCGTCCTACATTTGCCAATCCTTTGAAGTTAGGATACCAAGTCTTTCATTATTATATTTTTTTTATTCATATATTTGTTGAATTTACTCTCATTTCTAGCCGTTGATTAAAATTCGTTCTCAGATGGCTGAGAAGATTGCAACATGAGAAATGTAAAGTTTGACCTTGTAGGTAAATCCAACGATTTTCAACTCTATTTTTTCAAATGAAATGCAGTCTTGGAATTTCCTGCTCCTGGAAGGTTTAGCTCTAACCCATCTCACAGACAGACTCTCTCATTCTTTCCACATATATATATTAATTTCTTTAAGATTATCATTCAAATCCAAATTTATAATATGGCCACATATCTCATCTGCACAGGGGCAGAGTTAGGTGAGGTCCCCCCCCCCCCCCCCCCCCCCCCGACGAGAATTGTCAACTTACGTATAATTTTTAACAAAATTTGAGTAATCACATATAAACAAATGTTTATGTATGAATACTGTCGTGTGAAAAGTGTACCAACAGTCTCTTTCTACCCTAGCGGTAAGTACCAGAAACAAAAATATTCAAATCATAGAAGAACTTCAAATAATTAATCAACCGTCCTACATTTGCCAATCCTTTGAAGTTAGGATACCAAGGCTTTCATTATTTTTTCTTTTTATTCATATGTTTGTTGAATTTACTCTCATTTCTCGCCGATGCTTAAAATTCCTTCTTAGATGGCTGAGAAGATTCCAACATGAGATATGTAGAGTTCCACCTTGTAGATACATCCAACGACACATGCATCTTTGACTCTATTTTTTCAGATACAATGCAATCTTGGAATTTTCTGCTCCCAGAAGGTATAGTTGTAAATCATCTCACATACTCTCTCACTCTCTCCACATATATACTAGTTTCTTTAGGCTTATTCTTCACAACCAAATTTATCATATGAGTCACACATCTCATCTGCAAATACTTTCCATCCAAAACATCTGATTCCCACTCTTTTAATTGTTGCCTCATATAAATAGCAATAACATTGTTAACACTAGCATTGTTCATGCATCATATAAATAGCAACAACATTGTTAACATTAGCATTATCTATTGTGATAGAAGACACCTTCTTAATACCCCACTCCACCAAACAACTAGTCAAATGTCTTCCAATATCATCTACATAATGTTTTGTTACTTGGACAAAGTTGATAATTCTCTTATGCAACTTCCAATCTCTACCAATGAAATGAGCAGTAATACACATATAATTGAGATTGGACAAAAAACATTATAGAGCATGGTCCTTCTTACATGCAATCAAAAGTGTTGATTCACGCTTTGCACCTGCCCCTTTCATTCGATGATATACTTTCGATTCTGAGTAGGTTGAATGTGTGTATGGATGGTCGAGACACCCCTATTCATTTGTTTCCCATGTCAAGTGTGTGTGTGTTAGGGAGGGGAAGAGGGGATTTAGATGTTTCGAGTTGCATGGTTTGATCGTATATTTTCTTAGGGACAATAAAACACTTAATCAAGAGTGTTGATTCACGCTTTGCACCTACCCCTTTCATTCGATGATATACTTTCGATTCTGAGTAGGTTGAATGTGTGTATGGATGGTCGAGACACCCCTATTAATTTGTTTCCCATGTCAAGTGTGTGTGTTAGGGAGGGGAAGAGGGGATTTAGATGTTTCGAGTTGCATGGTTTGATCGTATATTTTCTTAGGGACAAGAAAACACTTAATTGTGGGGTATTTGATATAACACCCAAATTGATGTTATCTAACCTCTATTCTCGAGGTATTTTTTGTTTATATCATTTATAATTAGCAAGATAGGTAAAGATGATTGTATAAATTAGTGTTAGCATAGGTGGAAAGTAGCTACTTTAACCATTGGAGGTTTGAATCCCTTCTTCAATATGTTTAGACCTTGCAATCGGGTCGAGTTGGGTAATTTTGGGTTGGGGCATTAGGTTACGGATCGGGTCATGTTGAGTTGGTTGATTTTGGGTCAAATATTGACCCAATCCAACGGGTTTTGGGTCGGGTTACAGGTCATTTCGGGTCATGAGCGCTCTCAGAAACAATATCAAACATGCTTCAAAATTTTGTAAGGAACACAAATCATCACATATGTCTGGCAATAGTTTACCTAACACATGTCAATTAACGTATTCTCAAACCCTCCCACGCTAATGAAATGAAATACAAATTGTACAAAATCGTAAAAAAAACAATTACAAATGTAATACTACTACAAGAAACATATGATATTTGATTGTCCTTAAACTCCAAATGTGTCTTTCAAATCCTTGTGAGTTTTTTTAAACATCTCACTAATTATAAGTGATTTTATCATTTTGGAAGTGACATATGAAATGGAACGTGTCTAACGGGTCGACCAGCTAATAATTAATGTCCATCTTTCCTACTTCGTTTTCTCCACCCGTAGAGTAGTGTCTCCATCGATAACAATCCCAAATTCAGAATTCCCAATTCCGCTCCATGGCTTCTTCGTTGAGCCAGATGCGGAAAAGTCATCACCAAGAACCGAGCACTAATTCACGATGACAATTACTCGAATCAATCATCGTCGGCACCATCAACGAAGCTTTTGGTACCTTTCCTCCATCCCAAATGGAAGTGGTTTCTCCGGGATTCAACTTAAGAAGGTGAAGCTTAAGAGTGATCAAAGGCTTGTGTGTTATTTCCTTTTTGCTTTTGTTAGTTTTGGACCCCATGCATTTCTGCTTGTGGGTGGGTTATATAGTTGGGTGTTTGGGATCTTCTTTTGAACACCTTCCTTTATATTTTCTAAGCTTAATTTCCTAACATCGATCATATTGCAGGAATATAGTCTATTTTTTATTTTGTATCTACTTTTGCCTTTGTATTTGGTCCCAGTGTTTGGTGGTTTTACGATTTTGGTGATCATTTGCCTGAGACATTTTCTTTTGATAAATGAATTTCACTTTGTAAGATTGGTTTGGGATGAAACTTCTTGGGCTTGAGAAAATGCAAGACGATGACTGCTAGTCGGGATTACGAAGGGGATGAGTTTTGTGGGATTTAGGAAGACGAAGGGGAGTAGCGGACACAATACGGTTTGATTGTTTATTGAAATAAGGAATCTCAATAAAATATTTTTTAGCAATAAATTGATTAATTTAACATATGAGAGGTGGCAAATTTTTAGTGGGTGGGTGTACCAAATCAGCAATGCACACGTGGTACTCCTGGAGTACCCAATAATTTCTCTCAGCTCATATATATACACATTAGAATATCGATCAATGACTAGTTCTAATATTAATTGATATGCTTAAGTCTATCATCATACCCACAATCAATTAATTATACATGCATAAATTCAGCCTATAATATTTATTAACAGAATCTAACCTTCCAGTGCATGCCGGCCACCATCGGCCAAAAATATGATTGGTCGGTAACCGGTTTAAATGGTAACTAGCTAACCCGTTTAACCAGTATAGACTAAACGGTATACCGATTCTTGTCAAGTTACTTTCGACTAATGGTACCGGGAAACAACCGGTTTACTGGATATCTGACTACAGGTTAGCAACCTAGTTACTGACAGTTCCTTCTTTTCCTCCACTGCAGAACAACTCAGTTGGAACTTGAATATGTGCAAATGCTGCATTTTTCATCCAATTATCCACCCCATAAAAGAAATTACTATGATCCCCCAAGGTCTTGTTTATAGGGGAAAAAGAACTCACTATGTCAAGTTCAGCTCTGCTTATGATGAATTTGTTCAATGGTAGAGAGTGGAGCGACCTGTAGAAGGCTGCCATTTGCATCAACTGACAGTAACGAAAGAGTCACCGTTGGGAGCTTGGTACTAATCGGTTTGTCGACAAAGATTTTGGGGTTTGTGGTTTGCAGATCTTATGGATTTTTGGCATATCTGATGGTTTTTCGCCGGTAGTTAATTAAGCATGCACTGCCTCGCTGCCGACCACCAGCCTTCCCCTCCCTCTGCTTCAGTTTGAGGCATGAGAATCGCCGCCGACGTAGCTCTCGAGCTTGATGACAGTGGCATCGATGTCAGACAACAAAGGCAAAGTCATGGCTAATAAGAGATGTGACTCGATGCCATAGCAAACGGCCTCTTCCGCAGGCTCTTGTTTAGGGGACCGAGATGTTGTGGTGGGAGAAAGAGAAGATGGAGAAATATGGCATTGGTTGTTCTTTAATGGAGATATGAAATCGAGGTTGCGGGGGATCGATATCAGGTGGGAGGGAAGGGTGAGTTGGGAATGGAGGAATAAGAGAAGGTGGCAGAGATAGAAATGGTTTCGTAGAGATGGAAGCCTGTGGTGGTGGTGGACTGGGTGAGAGATAAAGGGGAAGGAAGACGGAGTTGGGGGAATTTCTTCGCATTTTTAGGTGATTACCGACATTTGGTTTACCAGCTAACCGTCGGTTACTAACCAAGTAAAATCCGGTATACCAAGTACATCCTTTTAGATACCGCCTACCGATATTGTCGATTAACGATGTAACTAATAACTGCCGGTTACCAATTTTATAACTAATTATACCGTTAACCGGTAAACCGATTATCACCCCCTACTCTCACTAACCCACTCCAAATGTCCACCTTACCCTTTTCTGGTCTTTCCCACATCCTCTTGTAGACCCAAAAATGGGAAAACCCGCTTTCTACGTTTGGACTTTGGAGATGGTCTAATTGGGCCGACCCGTATGCCGTAGCCCAAGCCTGAAATTGTCGACATCGTATCCAAAGCGTAAACCGTACGCAGAAGGGAGATATATGTCATTTAGCTTATTTTAAGTTAATCATTCGTCTCATTCAGATCAACGAACTTTTCGCAATTTTCCAAAATAGTGGGTCACGCATCGCAGCAATACGATCACAGCCGTCCATCCAGCGGATAAACCGACGGAAAAATAGCCGACCTTGAGCCCAAGAGGTCTTTTTTTCTATGTAAAACCAAAAAATTCGTAGGGGTTGGGAGAGGAAAATCATTTGTTCTGTGCCACTAAGAAAGTAGAGAGAGAGAAGGAAGAGAGAGATAAGGAGAGGCGGTTCATTTGGTTTTTGGTCAAGAGAAAAAAAGTCGCCTCTGCTCTATATAGGAAGAATAAATCTCCCCGATCTCTCTCTCGTCCTCCGCCTTGTAACCGGTTCCCTTCCTTTCCGAACCCAGATTCATCAAGCTTCCTCCCCGTTACTCAGGTTGGTAACTGAAAGAATCCGAACTCTCCCCGTCGCTTCTGGTTGTGGATTGTGAATTGTCTTTCTTGCAATTGTTCTGGTTTGATCGAAAAGGCTGTATCTTGATTTAGGTTTCTTGAGTTTTTTTGTCCCCTTTTATCTTGGATTTTGTTTACGGGTTGATCTTGGTCAGATCCTCTTTCAATCCTTTTGGGGCGTGCTGGATTTTAGGGTTTTTGCCATCCATGATTTTTTTTTCGATTGGAATTGAGGGCGTGTCTGAGTTGTTCGTTTATATGTTAACGTCGTTTCTCGTGGTCCGCGAGATCTGCTGTAGCTTGCGGGTTTTATGGATTGGCCAATCCGCTGTGTAGGTAGAGGGTGGATATTGGACCTGATAGATGAATGAGTTTGTGGGTGCTGTAGTTGGTATTGAGAGGAACTTTCTGTCACTGGGTTATATTGAGACAATGTTAGTGACTGCTGATAGTAAGCTGATCTGATGGGATTGAGATGATTATCTATTTTTGTGAATCGTAGAGTTAGTTCATTATGTTCTGGGATTTGGATCTATAGCTGCAGTTTTCTGACTATAGGGCTTTTTTCATGTTTTGCGGTTTGATTCCAGCATTTGAAGGCTTATTCTGCACAAGGGCATTGTATTGGTTCTGCTCTACTCATTCAATCCAAGGTTCATGTCTGAGTTTGACAATCAGATTCCATCTGCATTTGGTATGTTCCCGATCTCCGGTCAATATATGTATGTACCAGTGCCTCGCTCCTTAGTTTGGTGGGTGTAGTAAGTCGAGTTTTTGCTTATCCGGGTTATTGTTGTGCAGACCCTTTTGCTGATGCAAATGCTGAGGACTCTGGTGCGGGTACAAAAGAGTACGTTCATGTGCGCATACAGCAGCGAAATGGGAGGAAAAGCCTGACTACTGTGCAAGGGTTGAAGAAAGAGTTCAGCTACAACAAGATACTCAAGGACTTGAAGAAGGAGTTCTGCTGTAATGGTACAGTCGTCCAGGACCCTGAGTTAGGCCAGGTTTGTATAAACCCATTACCACCTTTTTTATCGAGTTAATTTTCAGCATCATATCCCAGTTCATGCCTGACTGAAAATGTTGGGACTTTTCTCCCTGTATTGCACAGGTCATTCAGCTTCAGGGCGATCAGAGGAAGAACGTCTCCACATTCCTTGTGCAGGTACTAGCAATTCATAATTCTCATGTCAATTGCTTCAATAGTTCAATGCCTTCATTAGCTTATGGTGTTCTTTATTTGGTTCAATAGGCTGGGATTGTTAAGAAGGAGAACATCAAGATCCATGGTTTCTAAAAGTTGCAAGATAAGCGAGATCTTGTTATCTACCTAGTAGACTTTCAAGTTGTTTAGAAGGAAAAGGGTGAAGAATCTCACATGTGTGGGACAGTTGGGACGGATTGAAAGTTTGGGGGATATCAGTACTGTCTGGAATTTATTTGCTTTTTAAGTTTGTGATGTGTGGCTGTCTTAAATCGTCAGCAAGTGAAAACCAGTTTTTGGTTGTGGTGGTGTTATATGTGTCTTCAGACTTGCTGGATGTTTTATGGAGTGCCGTCATTGCTTACTGATTGGTTCCCAGAATAAAAATGGTGGTCTCGTAATCCCTGTCTAGTTTTCCATTCTATATTAATCACATCTCCATGGATGAGATGCAAGAGTCGGTCGCCTTGAAGCTTTACTTGGAGGTTGTCATTTGATCATTGGTACTGTACAACCGTCGCTGTATCGATTGGTCAATGTGGTCCGATCGTGCTTTTAACCCGGTTTTTGCATCGCTCTCCTTGTTTTGATATTTGATCTTGCAATGCTACTAGAAAATAATTGATCATCCTTTTCTTTTTCTGTGCGATGCCAAACGCATCACGTGGCTGGGATGGCTACTTGCAACTACGAAGTCTGGATCTGAAATGCTTTCCACAGACCTCATCGCTTTCTTGATGGCTTCGTAACCAGTACCCAGTACGAGATTTGCCTAAATATCATTTGTTCCCCCTGTTCTAGGCTCAGTATGATGTTAAGCTTGAAGTGCGTGAACTCTCAATAGATTTGCATATCAGATTCATGGGCGACTTTCTGGATTGGATTCAATAGATTTGTGTCTTAAGTTGGTATTAAATGTAATTTGTCGACATGAATCTAGAAATAATTAAACGCACACCTGGGATAATAGAGAATTGCAGCAAGGTAAGTTTATTCCACCCTCAAATCTGCAAAGGCAACCTGCTGTTGCAGAAGCTCGGCCGGGAGCACAATTTAATTCACCGGCTGATATGATCATGAATTCTTCAATCCAATTCACCAAACCATGATTTGAATTTTACTTACCACCTCTAATTCAGTTTTACATAGATTATATCCAGTACTAAGTGGTTATTTTTTGTGTTATTTATCGTGGATGGTTTCAGCCAGATGGATAGATCTTCTACTTATTTAATCCTCGAGCTAAGATCAAGATCATGTGACTAGGGGGAGGAACACTGGGATGGCAATGAGTCGGGTTGGGGCGGGTTTTGTCAAACCCAAACCCAAATTCATAGGTTTATCCGTTAAAAAAACCCGTTGGGTTTGAAAAACTCAAACCCAACCCGCTGGGTATCCGCGGGTTCATGGGTACCCGTGGGTTTTTGTGGTAAAAAATTTACAATAACAAATTTCTTTCAAAATAAAAGTTTAAACATCAATTTTCTCATACAAATTATTCATACAATAAATACCAATCTAGAACATACAAGCAAACCGCAAATGATCAATACAAATTGTTCAAAATTAAAGATAAACATCTATAAACAGCAAGATTAATTGAAATCTTCTTCCTCGTCAAATAAGTTTTTTCACTCTCCACTCCATAATATCAACTTCATTCTAAATAATTAGAAAGAACAAATTATACATGTCTCCACAAACATAGATAATATTAGTTGTTTAAAGAAGATATATTATTTAGAATATTAAATATACCGGGAAAGTAATTATATGTGTGGCGGGTACTCATGGGGCGGGTTTACCTAAACCCAAACACAACCCGGTGAATAGTGTAGCGGGCTTAAACCCGAACCCGACCCAAAACCCATCAACACGGGTTTTACCCACGTTGATCGGGTTGGGTCGGGTGGGTACCCGTGGGTTCGGGTTTTGTTGTCATCTCTAAGAGGAAGAGGACATAGTGACATAACTAAATAAATCTCACTCTTCCACTTCATTAAAATTCAATGAATATAATTAATCTAACTTAATGAAAGACAATGCAATGATTATCTAATTAATTTATTTAGCAATTAAAACAAAAAAATAATTTCCCTCCCTGTCGTCCCTCACCGCCTTCGCAGGCCAGGGGCTAGGGGAGGAAATTAATTCAAGCGTCGATAATGGACCAGCCGTCGGAGTTTCATGGGAAAAGGCCACACGAAGAAAATTAATTCTACCTTTCTTCCCATTCGAGAGATCGAGAGAGAGAGTCTCCGATGACATTGGATTTCCGGTCGATCGGCGACGCGGATTTTCTGGCAACCAGAGACGGCGGGGGAGGATTATCCGGCGGCAGTACTGGATTCGTGATGTTTGTATACCTATTTTGTAATGTTTATGAGTTCCTTTTGTAATGTTTATGTCAATTCGGTTTATATTGTTTATCATTCTAGTTTGTTATTTTTGTCTATTGTGTTTGTAATGTTTATATAACTAATTTGTATATATGTTTATTTATAATATTTGTTCGTCTAGTTTGTATACTTTATGTTATGATTGGTATACTTTGTATTCATTGATTTGTAATACAATTTTACTGATTTGTATTGTAAGTAGCGTTATTTTGTACTGTTAGTATGCTTTGTAATGTTTGTCAGTTTATTATGTAATGTTTGTAATCTTTGTTATTTATGTAATGTTTGTCGGATTCTTTTGTAATGTTTGTAAGTTTTGTTATTTGCCCACCATGTTTGTCATTTTTGTCAACCATGCTTGTAATGTTTTTTATTTTTAAAAAACAACCTGGTTGACTTTTGGATAGAACTCTTCTGTATAGAGATGGATCCTCAAAAGTCAACCCGAGTGTTTTTTCATTTTGTACGTTTGTCGGTCTAGTTTGTGATTTTTGTCCACCTGTTTTAATGTTCGTATGTCAAAAAAATAATCGGGTTGACTTTGGGACGAAAATCACTCTATATAGGGATGGAGTCTCCAAGGTCAACCCGAGTGTTTTTCATCATATTTGTCGTTTTAGTTTGCAATGTTTGTAGGGTAAGGTCTATTTATTATCATATTCTTTTATTTTATCCAAATCTATTGAAATACTAAGAATTAGCCAAACGCTTTGTAGCACGTCAAAGTATTAGCCATTTTTACATTATCGTTAATAACTTTGTAACTCTTTTCTTAGTAAAAATGCTAAAATTTTGGAATGTTGACTTCTATGTGACTCTTCCAAGTCAGTATCATGTTACCAAGTCAATATTACTAAAAAAATTGCTAAGTGAATGTTAATATTTGGTTAATTATTAGTAATTCAATAGGTTTGGTTAATAGAATATGAGAAAGTTTCGACTAATAATTAGTCATTACCCATGTTTGTATATTTGTATTGTTTATAAATCCGGTTTGTATACTTCATAATTTTTTATAATGTACAAAATACTCATATTCCTAATTAAAAAGCACTAATCATTTTTTAACTGTTACATTAGCATGTTCAAATCAAAGTGATAGAAAAGATTTAGTCAAGTGACTAAACATAACTTAGTCGCCTGATCCTTTCTCTTCCTTCCTCTTAATCCTCGCCGGTGCCTGGAACCCGTACTCAGGATCCGGAGGTTTAACTAATTTCTTGCAAGTGTGCCTTTTTTGTTCATTGCATGTAAGTGCATGTGTTCGTTCCATCTATCCTATCCTGACCGTGATTAGACTGGCAAATTGCCTGATCCTTTCTCTTCCTTCCTCTTAATCCTCGTCGATGCCTGGAACCCGTATCCAGGATCCGGAGGTTTAACTAATTTCTTGCAAGTGTGCCTTTTGTTTGTTCATTGCAAGTAAGTGCATGTGTTCGTTCCATCTATCATGACCGTGGTTAGACTGGCAAATTGCAGTCTCTTTTTTACACTAAGTCGTTTGGTTTTGGTGATAGTTAAGATGATATAGTTACAAGTACAATACATATATTGTCCACAATGCATCTTTTTTTGAAATTTCTGCACAAAAATACATGCATTGTTTGCTTGATTTGACACAAACTATCACTCAAAATGAGTGATAGTTAAATCTCAAGTTTTGGTTGAGATTGTTGAGATTGTTTGGTAGTGATTGTTGGATTTTGTTTTGTTCCCACTATGTCCTAACCTTTTATGTATGTTGCTTTTCTAATATTAAAAACAAAGGGCAAATTTTACATTTCATCCAAAAAGTAATATAACTTATTTCAATATTTGAATAACTATCACAGAAACCAAACAATGTAAACTACACTACACCATTTTTCTTATATACATGTATATTATTATTCATGCATCGATAATATGGTTGTCACGCCGGCCGGCATGCCACCGGTTGTACCGGGTTTAACCGGTACCGGTCATAAAATCGGCGTGACACCACCGGTATGACCGGCATGATCGATATACGAATCTGAAATCTCTAAGTAAAATGAACTTATTTTAGTGAATTTAATTGATAAAAATTATTTTATTATTTATTTTATGAGTATAAAAGTTCAATATTGATGTTATTTGCTGGATTCAAGTATAAATGTTTAGGTATTGATGTTAAATGTAATGTTTAAATATGAGTATTTATAATTTTCTTTGTAATATTGACCGGCAGAAACCAGCACAAACCAGTATGTGCCAACGGTTGAACCATTCCACTTGCTAAACCGGCATACTGACATAAACCGGTTTGACAACCTTGATCGATAACAATGCAACTATCACCAAAACAAAACGATGCCTACTAGATTTTCTATCACCATCCAAAACACTCAGCGAGACTAGATTTTCTATCACCATCCAAAATCGAAGCATTCTAAGCCTACCGAGTCCCGTCCAAGCTCATTCGAGGCAGTCGGCCATACTACGATCAATGCACAGATCCTGACATGAACAATTTGGGACCTGAAAATATTAGCTGCAGCCGGAACTTGCACAACAAATGCACAGAATACACTAATCTAAGAGACCATGAACAGAACCATCCGATCATAGCGGTTGGAAGCAACCTAGAACCATCAACTAAATGACACCCTAAAACTGTTATACTCGATTCCATAGTAATACTTGTTTCTGAGCTGCTCACAAGGAACGTTGACAAAGCAAAAAAACTACTACAGAATTGTCAAGTTCATCAGGAAGGAAAAAGGAGGGAGGTAACAACCACGGAGAGAGAATAAGAGCAAATCTGAAGAAAAGCAAAACAAAAAAGACCCTCAGAGCTTCCAGCCTTAAGTACGGGTTTCTTCCGCTGCCGCAGCTTCGAATGTCTCTCCGGCTACAAGTTCTGGGACATCATCATCATCTTCCTGAACTACTCCAGTGGCACCAGTGGGGGCCTCCTTTTGGAATTGCTCAGCCAACTTCTTCAAGTTGTCCAAGTTATCTGGGCCTGAAATGTAGGAGACAGAAATGGTAAGCAAAGCATAACTCTTGAGTATCCAGCATTACAGGAAAATAGAAAACAGAACAGGCTATAGCATGATGTCTCAACGGTAGCTCAAGTGACACTAAGTAGACAGCTCCCAACGAATTAGTTAGTTAAGTGAATGAAAACATAGAATTAGTAAATTAGAATGCATAAGCATTGTTGATGAATGGCAGAGTGAAACCATGCCTATGTTAATAACCCAGGTACAAGCTTCTGAGACTACTTGAGATGTTAATAACCCAGGTTAAACACCCCAAAAAAGATACATTGAACTAATTTGGGCAAAACAAAAACCTTCATTACCAAATATCAAGGAGAGGTAGAACATCGCTTATGTTATCTCTTCCCTCAACCCTGGGAACCGAAGCAGAAACCATGCATATGTTCCATAAACATTGCACAAATAAGACATTCGATTTACCCATACACTAAACAGGTTTGAAAGCTAGCTCTAGAAGAGCTAGCTATAATAAGAATGATACCACAAAACATTGGTTAATAATCAAAACAGGCTCCTTAAGTATGAGTGGAAGTTCCTACAACTCAATCCAGCTTCATTTACAACACTGTCAACACATAACCAACATTCACACCGACTGTAAAGAACACATACCAAGCTGGTTGATAATCCCTGGAAGAATATCTTGAAGTTCTGTAATAACACAAGGTTAAACGTACATCAGCCAAACACACAGAAGGAAATATAAACACCATTGGACTCCAGGAAAACATCAGATCAGTAACAGGAAAGAGCAGGGAGATTCATCTGCAAAGTAAAACAAGAAAGAAACACCATCCATTAGTGAGAACAAAAACAGCCGCCGGCTGAAAGGGAGCAGATGAAACGCAAAACGGAAACAGGAAGAACCATAAATCTGGTACTGATTAGGGTTTTGAGTCACTTCGATTTACCTTGTCTAAGAGTTTTGGTTCAGCGGAGAGGCTAACAAGGGAGAGCGGCGGAAGCAGAGAGACTGATCTCTGGGAAGGGTTTCCCTTATCTTTTTAAAATGCTATAGGCTAGGGAATTGGGGAATATATTTACCGTTCTATCCCTTTCTTCTCCTTTTTTTTTTCGTTGAATTTTTTTTTCTCCCTCTACTGCCATTTTAATTTTTAATTGCTAAATTGCACCATATATCACTATCTTTCTATTTTCTCCCTCTACTCCTCGCTTCGCCCCCTAGCAACCCAATGCAATAGGGCGAGTTGTGGCGTGTACCTCAATACCTATTCCCCACCTTATGTTATTACGGATTGGGGTGGGTGATATTCGTGCGTGTACAAGGTGAGGCATATCGACCCACTCTAATATGTTATTTGATAAAATTACACGTCAAATTTTACTTTTTATGATAAAACGAAGGGGAAAACACTTTATAAACGAAGTAAGTGATAATAGTATGAGTAATTGACTCTAACTAGTTGAAATATTAAATCGTTGAACAAAAGTAAAAATAGGAGAAATATGAATACTTACTGTAAGAAATTGAGATATAATGGGCCAAGAATGGGGTAGGGCGGGACAGGGGGAGTTGGAAGTAGATACTCATGCCCCGCCCACGCTACTGCGGGTCAGGTTGGGTAATACCCGGCGGGGCGGGTTCAAATTGCCCTTCTAAACCCAATTTTTGGATTTTTTTCTCAAATCGCCTCCAATCGAGACCTTCGCTACCCCGCCTCCTTGTCTTCGTTGTGGCCTAGGGCTGCAAATGAGTCGAGCTGCTCGCGAACGGTTCGGCGCTCGACTCGTAAAAAACTCATTTGAAACTCAGCTCGTTTACTAATGAGCCGAGCTTGAGCTAACCCTTCTGCATCTCGTGGAGCTCGCGAGCTAGCTCGACTCAGTGGTTTTTTGAGCTCAACTCGTGAGGTGGCCATTCCCCATAGTGATCATTTGGGGTAGGTGAATTTTTGTGATTTATCATGTTGCTTGTAAATAACTTGAATCACAAAAAATCGAAAGTCATTTTTTCATATAAAACTAGTCACGGGCCTAGCCAGTTTGCCGGATCCGATCTCCAATCACGAAAACAATAATGGTAAGTTTATGCAAGATACATGTTTTTTGGTGGTATAAGAAAATATAAATTATTAAAATACTCTAAATATTCAAATTGATTGGTAGAATAAGAGAATTCAAATTATTAAAATAATTCAACACTTCAAAAAGATCAACATCATACTGTTTTATGTCATGCTAATGACTCATCAACTAAAAATCTTTATGGAAATGAAAGGCAACCACATGCAATGGAACTTACTTCTAAAAACATTTTCTAATCACCCTTTTATTTAGTCATCATCATCAGTAATACTGCACGTTTTTATTTTAACTTATTTAATTTCCTCCACCATGAGCACCATCATCAGCTCCATTAATGACACATTTATCTACATTATCAATAGTATATTCCTTCTTCACTTGCATTTCATTAATTTCTTCCTTGTTTTCCTGCATTTCATTGCACACTAAAATTTAATGGTAAAATATTTACAAATACAAATCATCTTTTTCATTGGAGTTGAATTTACTGCGTGCAAATTTTGAACAATATTTCTCCCCTCACAGGTACCATTAGTTGTACATGGATCTATAGGTACTTGAATGCTACATGGTCTGTGAAACATAAAAAAAAATGCTTCAAAACATTTAGGATCTGCTTTAGGATTTGAAATTTCAGCATATATAGTTGAACCTCTTTCTGAAGAACCAAAGATTTTATCTTCCACAGTTAGGAGAACTAATAAATGAGCACGGGGTAGAACGTGTTTTTTAAAATTCAATTGTCATTACATCTGCAATGAAAGAAATTATCAATAATAATCAAAATTGAAAAATAATAATACCAAACAAATCATGAGTTAAGGATGCTTAAATCAAAACTATGGAATATAACTTACATGTGCATGTTTCCCCCAAAACTTTCTTCTCCAAAATCTCTTTCAACAATTCATTTTGCTTCAGCTTGAAAACTACTGCGAGTACATCAAGTCTTTTAGGATCTTTTCTAGTAGCATTCCTTATCAAATCAAGCATGTATTGAATCTCAAATCAATCAAGATTACATGTAAATGTGATGAACATATCTAGATTACCGACCCATCTACAAATTACCATAAAATTTTAGAAGTTTTCATACTTATATCGGGGCCTACGTGAATGCGATGAATCTCAAATCGTATGCTTTCCACTCAAACTGGTATCCGAATTACCTCTCAAGTAAGTATCCAAAAGACCTTGGTAGTAACGTTGCCACGCCTGTGTTTGATTGTCTTTAATCTAATCCAACCGCTTAGCATCAACCAATGCACATGTGTTAACAACATATTTGTTGGAACAACTTTCCACATAACTTGTTTACAGTCTATACTGTAAAAATCAAATTAGGTCATATTCTTCATTGAGTCCTTCTGTATCCTCATAGCTAGAATATGGAATATTTGGGTGTCATCCATCCTCCCCATGTGGAAATAATATGAAATATTGCAAAGTAATTACAGTTGGGTTATATATACGAATTTGTACCACTTCATGACTTTGATGTTGGGTTGTCAAAAAAAAATGACTTTGATGTTGGGCAACAATATCAGTAAAAAATGTTTGGTCCCTAGTATCATCAACAATGAAAGCAAGGACCTCACTTACATATAAAAAATCATATTCTCTACCATCCCCTTCTCTTTTAGCAAGCAACTTAGTTTCAACTTGCTAACAAAAGTGTCATTCAATCTATCCCTTGGAAATCATAATGCATTAACTAAGATATTACTTGAATCAAACATCTCTTGTTGTTGTTGAATAATTTAATTGCGCAAAAGGATTTTAAATAGAATATGTGGTGAAAAAACTAATTGATTTTGGAGTTTATTGCGAGTGTTATAGATGTAGAGTTGAACAAAATTTGGTTTGTTCCTTTTAGTAGATATATATCAGGCTATCGGTTTGATGATTAACTTGACCTCGAGTCGAATAAACGTATACTTTACGTTCATATCATTTATAGACCAATCCATTTTACCTCCAATAAAAGTTAATGCGAAGACCCCATTATAGCTTCAAATATGTTCCAAAAAGTGATGTCATGTAGAAGTATTTGCGTGCAATATCATATTCAAAACCTCTGGAGGATGCATCTGAGGAGGGAGGTTCACTTTGCCTTGTCTTTACGTAGCACAATGAAAACTTTGATTGATTGTAATTCCTTGTGCGTTTGATACTTTCACCCTTCCGCATCATTACTACACAATATTCACATTTATAAGATGAATTTTAAATGTTAAAATTTTGAACAACATCAATAAAATTATAAATTTAATATAAGATATGCATTTGATGTAAATTTTAAAACAAAAATGAAAAAAAACTCAAATGCAATGCTGTGGCTGAAAAGGCCTACAATTATTTATTTACATTGAAGTAATGTTATACTCTTTTTACATTGTTGTGGCTGAAAAGAGCTTCAATTATTATTGGTTTTTATTTTGTTTTTCCAGTCCGCTAATTTCATATTATCTTAATTAAGTTTTTAGCTTTCAAATTCATACTTTAAAGATATATTAGCTCCATATAGTAACTAAATTACTCTTTTATCAAGTATTGAGGTATATTTATTTTTAGTTATAAAAGTGGTGAAAAAATACATCACACGTAATGTATGACTTGTATTTTCAACGTAATAATTTTCTCATTAATATTTGGCATAACACATGGTCAAAAGAATTATTGTCATTTTATGGTAACAGAGTAATTAAATTATGCCCGCCGAATACCAAATTATGACTCCACCCAAGAAAGGGCTCTCGAACAGAAAAGCAGAGGTTAGTTGCTCCTCTTTGTTGCTTCCATAGGCCGTAATACATAATCATAATAAGAGAGCGAATAGGGTACAAAACCTCAATTTGCAAAACTCAATCGTATTATCGTATCATGATATTGTAATACGATGATACGATGTATCAATGTATGTCGTGATATCACTATGTCGTGATATGATGATGCGACCGATAAGCCTAACCCTTGTAATAATAATTGGACCGAAGAACAATACCTTTAGTGCTAGCTTGGACGGAAAAGATTTGGGATTTGGAGGAAGGAAATTTTGACAAAGTTCTATGTGCTGCGTAATATAAGATTTTTAGTACAACAATAATTAGGAGCACTTCTACTATGCTATATAGTATTGGTGCTTTAATGTACAACTTGAAGTTGTACCATAAAATTAAATGTATAAGTTTAGGTTGTATCATAAAGGAATTTGTATCATTATGTTATGGTACAACTTTACAGCTTAAAGTTGTACCATCACATAAGGTACAAGTTTAAGTTGTACCATAAAAGAATTTGTACAAAAAGTATAGGTACAATCTAAAGTTGTACCAGAACATTAAAGGTACAATTTCAAATTGTACTCTAAAAGCAAAAACCTATAGCACTAATACTATATGACATTATAAAATTCCTGGTTCACGCTTTTATTTTTTGCCCCGCCGCTTGGATGGAACCGCATGGATGGAAATATATACCAAACCTACTAATATAAAAGCTCAAAAGTCCAAAAATGACCCTGCCGTGGTTTGCGTAGGAGCCACGAAAAATGGAATTAAAGGGGTTGTGATAGAGAACCTCCTTATATGTATTTAGGGAGGATGTATTTTTTAATCTTGTTTATTTGAAGAATCCGTTCTTAAGTTACACATTTAATTTTTTCTCAGTACCACTATTTAGTAGGCAATTTATTAGTAAAAATACTAGCATGTCATCCAGTAAGTATAGATCAATTTATTAGCCAAATATTTTTTTAACAAAATAAAAGTCAAACTTTTTGAAATACAAAACAATATCAAGCCCCCTTTATATTTTCGTTAGTTAAGGTGAGTTGTAAATGTTTTTTTGATGTGGCCGTCAATCAGAAGATGTCAAATGAGTTCATCTTTGATCCAATTCGATGGGTATGTACGGGTAGTTTGGGTACCCGCCAACCCTTATGGATTTGGGACATGAGATAGACTTTGTTGTCGACGGATATCTCATCCTGTCCCATTATCCACCCCGAGCGTTTTGGTAGTATTGGGTTGGGACATGCTGCTAGCAATGATTGTAGTGCCTTTTTTTTTAATGATGGTTGACATATTTATTTTTGTTGACAGATTCATTCTACTATGTTAATGAGCATTTTTCGAGTTCAAGTTTGAGCTGGATTATTTTTTAATCGGGTCGAGCACGAGCCTCGAGCTCGAGTTGGATTATTATTCGTCGAGCCGAGCTCGAGATAGATTATCAAAATTCGAGTTGGAACCTAGCTCGAGCTAAAATATTTATAAACAAGCCGAACTCAAGTCAAGTAAAAACTCGACTCGACTCGTTTGCAGCCCTATCTTCAACTCGATAATGATATCCTGTCGATCAGACCCCTCTGATTTGGCAAAATCTTACGTCAGACAAAGGATAAATTGCAAGTTCGGTCACTAAAATTATTAAAAAAGTTTACGTTTGCCACTAATATTAGTTTATTCCATTTGTGGTCACTAAAATTAGTTCAACAATTCAAGTTTAGTCACTCTCCGTTATCTTTTATGATGTGGCAGTCAACTGAGGGATGGCAATGGGGCGGGTTTTCCTAAACCATCCCCATCCCCATCTTCAAATACCCAAACCCATACCCGCCCCATACCCATGCAGGGGAATGTTTTGCAAACCCATCCCCATACCCGTGGGTTTCGGGCACCCATGGGTAATACCCATACCCGTCCATCCAACATTATTAAACCTAAAAGTTACAAGAAAATTTTTAATTATAACTCTAAACGAACATATTATATCAGGAAGTCAACAAAACACAGTCATTTTTTTAATATGGTTCAAAGAATATGATCTTAAAATATTCATTAATACATAATATAGAGTATAATATTTTTAAAATTATTATGTTCTAACTCTGATACATCTACTAAGTAATAATTAACTAACATAATCTTGTTGGCAAGGGGGAAAGTGAAAGAGTGAAATGAGAATTGAGAGAAATGAATTAGATTTTGATTAAGATAGTCACTCAATTGCATTTCTACTATTTATTTTCTTAAGTTATCCTCATCATTGATAGATTATAATTTGATGCACATATTTTTTTATATATGAAGAAATTCTATTGGTGGGGCGGGTATGGGTATGGGTATGAGGCGGGGAGGCTAAAACCAAACCCGCCCCATACCCATCAAAGTTTTTGCGGGTTCTACCCATACCCGCCCCATACCCGGTCAAAACGGGGATTCCCCGCGTTGATTGGGTCGGGGGCGGTCGGATACCCGCGGCCATGGGTTTGATTGCCATCCGTAGTCAACTCTGATAATTGACAGTTAAATATATGAAGTGACAATTATAAATAATAAAACAATAAATTTTAATCATTTAAAATTTCCACCTCGTTTTTACATTCATTAAAAATAAAAATAAAATTCTTTCTTTTCTTGTAATCTCATACGACAACCTTCCAAGAGCATGCCTTCATCGGACTTCTCCATGCCGACAGCCAAACATGGATTTCCGGAGAGGACGAAAAGGAAGAAAAACATATGGCGGTGGTGGCTCCTGCAGAGGCAATGCCTCTGTCGAAATGTTGACCCTAACGGCCTGCAAGTTACCCCTTAACCGCCGCGCCAACTGTGAATACTCCAGTGGCGGCAAATTCAGGGGAATTCACTCCGCATACGTGAGACCCGACGGCTTGAACACACAACATTGACATGTTCCCAAATCCTGACTTGATCTGATCTAGGATGGTGAGCGACGTCGGCCGACGAATATGAATTTGTTGGTGTTGAACGAGGATGAACAATCAATTGGCGTGACTTCCACAAATCGATGGCAGATGATATATAGGCGAAGGAAGCAGGGGAAGGAATTAGGTTTCAACCGAGGAATTTTCTGGCGTATGGGTGACGATCTGGGTTTGGATTCTTTGAAGATATGAATTGGGAGTGAGAGAGGCAGAACGGGAACATACAGATGGTGGGATGCAACAATCTCACTGCGAGAGCAGAAGGGCGAAGGCGGTCAGAGGAGGATGGGTGACGATCTGGGTTTGGATTTTTCGTATATCTGAACTGGGAGAGAGAGAGGTTGAACGGGAACAGAGAGATGGAGTGACGCAGCGATTGGGGAATTTGGATTGGGGTAGAAGACGAATATATTTTTTTTAAATAAAAAATGGTGGCTTTAATTTTGATTTTTATAATAATTTTATGTTTTATTTAATTTATTTTATTGTTATAATGAGGTGGATTTTATAAATTTATTATTTTTTATTATTTTTTATTTGTGACATAACTTATTTAACTGTCAACTATAAGGGTTGACTGACACGTCAGAAAAAGATAAAGGAAACTCACGGAGAGTGACAAATCGTGAATGGTTGAACTAATCTTAGTGACCACAAATACAAATGGAATAAACCAATTTTAGTGGGGTTAATAGCATTTTCTACCCCTCTATTATCGTAAATTAACAAACGTACCCCTCTACTAAATTTTTGCACAAACATACATTTCTAATATTAAAACGTAACGAGTTTACCCTTTCATCTAATTATCCTTTAAGTGGCCGTTAAATGGGCTCGGAAATGACAGGCAGTTACAAGAAACCGTTTGTCTGCCATGTTCTCCTTCGGCGATTCATCGATCGAATCGGTGGCACCTGCTCCCGGCTTATCCTTTTCGGCGGTCACAAGAAACCGTTTGACCCACCGTTTCCATCTCCTCCCGCCATCCCGTACTCCGATATCGCGCTCCCGTAACATGCCGCCTCCGCCAGAAGCTTCAATTGTGGCGAGGGGAAGTCGAATTTTAGGTCGACGAATACTGATCGACGGCGAGGTGAAATTGCCTTCACGGAGCGAGAAAACCCGCGGGATCAAATAATCCCTCTTCTGATTCTCGACGTCGAACCCACTGCGGCGTGGCTTGTTTGAACTCAAACGCTTTAGAGTGTTGGATGGATGTGATTGAGCATCGTTCTCGATCATGAAGGAGACTGGGCCACCGACTTCCTGATTGGAATTGTTGTTGCTGGATTGGGAGGCGCGATTAGAGGAGATTTCACAATAGGAGCAGGAAGAGATTTCACCGCAATCGGAGCTAGGGCTGGGCAATTGACCAGTTGGGTGGGCTTTGGTCTCAAATTGACCCACTCGCTGACTAGCGGATTGGTATAATTATGATCTGCTATCCTCCCACATTCCTCTTCGGGTTGAGTTGGGTGGGTGACGAATGGGTGCGGTTGGGTTGCGAGTCAACCCGCAAAAACAGTTCTCTATCTAGCCATTAAGAAAGTTGACTAACATTTACAATAAGTTCCTCGTAAGTTATTAAGACTATTAAATTAGACACCCACTACTTGCCCGTACATTTACTACTTGCCGCCCATGATTTTAGTAAAAATGTCGTTTTTACCCCTAGTCGTTATAACACAAGCTTCGTAACACCACCCGCAGATCAGCATCGCCGCCGGCGCTAGACCATCACCGCCAAACCTTCACCGCCGGCGCTAGATCACCATCACTGAAGCCAGATCCCTTCCGATGCTGGCAAGAAGACTGCGTTCGAAGACCAGACACCGTCAGACGCCGGCGAGCGGATCCCGTCCGCCGTACGGGAGCGAACCACGTCCGATGCCCGCTGGCGGACCCCATCCGCCGCCAGGGAGACAAATACTGTAGGTTATATAATTAAGTGATTCTAACTAGAATAGGTAATAATTTATTTTTACAAGGAATAGGTAATTAATTTATTAAATTCCGTTTCCCCTAATTGCGTTGGTAGCAATCAAACGAGGAATGATTATATAAAACAATTATTATAAAAAAAATCAAAAGAGGAAAATAATTAACAGCCCTAAGTTCAAAGCTAAGGGCATAAAATTAAGGAGTGAAATGATATTATATATTAAAATGACCATGTAATCATATTGATAATTTACCTATAAGTGTGGATATGTCATGTAATCAAACTAAAATGGTCACGTTTTGAATTTATCAAATTTCTCATTTACTAGAGTCATCGACTTAAAAATTATTGAAAACCTCGTTGATCCTCTAAAATGTGGATACGAACATGGTGGAACTGACCATTTCTCAATTGGACGTCCCAGACAAAAAATGATGAATAGTGCCAAAATTTTCATCGAGATTTTTGGGGGCTCTGTGGATCGTAACAAGGTATTTCTTGAGTCTATCATGCGTATTTCGATGATGCAAACAAATGTTTTTAGTGGAGGTAGAGACGATTTTACCTCTAACACCATGTCGTAATAGGACTTGATGGGTTGAGGTTGAAGTTAGGTCTTTAGTGGGAATTAGGGTTTAGGGTACGAGGGGGGTAGAATGTGCAGAAGGGGAATATATGCTTTCCTCTTTTGTTCTTGTCATCATTGTTCCGATTAGTAGAGTATATTATTCTTCTTGTTATTATCATCATAGGTTTAACTTAATTAAACCATATTTTAGTAAAATACAACCCTAATTAGTCAAAGTCAAACGTTAATCTCGTTAAATCTACTCTTGTTGCTAGTGGTGATGGGCCTAGGAAGATGATTGAAGCTCCCTCGATTTAAATTATTTTGACACAAACTAAATTTTAAACTACTATTAGACGTTGTTAACAAATTCTAACACCTATTAAGCTACTTAACAAACAATTTTGCATAATACTACTATAAAAATTAACATTTATTATTTATGACAAATTTCAATGCAGATTAAACTGCTTGAATTACTATAATCATTCCAATTTCCACCTAAACATCTATATGGAATTAAACTTTTTTCTTTATTAATTAATTACTTTCCTTTAGCTCATCCTACTAATTAACGAATTGGAATAAAACGTTGCTTTCCTTCTTCTTTTTTAAATGAATTCATTAGAATTTTAATGTGTTTTAATTAAGAGAAATTGTCGATTATTAATTTTTTATTTTGGTTAAAAAAACAGATAGTTAATTAGGGAAATAGAATTAGACGTTGTTTAATTAGAGAAAATTTTGGTATTTTATAATTAAGTGTTTCCGTTTTTAATTATGTAAATACAATTACTGTTAGTAATGGGGTAGGAAGTAGGAATCAATAAAAGTAAATTAAATCACACGCTTACTCCACATTTAATTTGATTTAGTAATCCGTTAATTCCTTCATTATATAAATTTATTTTATTAGTTACAATGTTTCGGCCCAAAAAATGGAAAACAATTACCATGTTTAGAACTTCCAAAATCAATCCCTAAAAAAAAAAACTTCCAAAATCAATGCCGACATAAATAGCAATTATCACAAATCATCATTTAATATAAAATTTAATTAATTTGTAAATAATTAAAAATGGGTTTCTTAAGAAAAAAAATCGTCGACGGCAACCGTCTGATCGTCAGCGTCGGACCCCATCTGATCGTCGGCGTCGGACCCCGTCCGATCGTCGGCGTCGGACCCCGTCCGATTGTCGGCGTCGAACCCTCGTCGGCGTCGGATCTCGTCCGAACTCCCGCAGCGGACCCCGTCCGACCTCCGGCAACGGACCCCGTCCGACCTCCCGCAGCGGACCCAGTCCGAACTCCGGCGGCGGACCGAGCTTCTACGACCGTGAGGTGAGGGAGGGGAGGGGAACAACGACTGTGGTTTTGGGAGGGAGGGAGTGAGAAGGTGGCCGGCGGAGGAGGTGGTCCCTGGGGTGGCTGGCGGAGGAGGTGGTCTCTGGTGGCCGGCGGCGGAGACTTCACAAGTGGCCGGCGGCCATGTTTGGGAGGGAGCAGAGAGTTGGGTTGGGGATAGATTAGGTTTAGGGTTTAAATTAGCGAAGGGCAAATTCGTCATATTTTTTCTAACTATGGGCGCCAAATAGTAAAAGTACGGGCTATTTGTCATATTTTTTCTAATTTATTTTTTCTAAATAAGTTAGCGATTTATTTAATTAATTGTTTGGAACATAAATAAATATTAAAAAAAATAATTAAAACTAAATTAGGAGTAAAGGAAGTACAATTGGGTCATTTTTCAGTCATTTTAACGCCCACTTAGCGTTAAATTTGACAGAAGGGTAAATTCGTTACATTTTAATAGGCTAAGCCTATTACACGTTTGGTCGCTCGAATTACATAAATCTTTCACGTTTGCCACCCAAATTACTTTTCTTTCATATTAACCACTCACTTTACAATTCGTTTCATCGTTGGTTACCCTCCGTCAGACTCCGTTAACGTCGTCAGAATTTTGATGACGTGACATACGGAAGTGCTGACTGGGCTGACATTGAGTTTGACTGCCTAGTTAGCCACACTACTCGACCCAGTGAAAAACGGCCCGTTTTTGCAGTTCATTTTAATTTAGTTTTACTTTATTTTTTTTACAATTTAACTTTACTTTTTGTTAGCCCAAGTGAAAAAGAAAGGGCAGAATAAGGGGTCTGCTCATTCTTCTTGTCGATTCCCTTTCTTCATTGCTGGAGGCGGAGGATGCTAGGGAAGACGACGATCGTATAGGGAAAGCAAGGATAAGGGCAGAGGAAAGAAGCGGTCCACTCGTGTCGATCGGAAAAGTGTTTTGAATTTGAAGAAAGCACAATTAGGGGAATTGTCAGAAACTAAACCCAAACAGAAGGTACATAAAAGCACAATAGTTTTTAGGGTTTCTGTCGATCTTCCCTGATCATCCAACAAAATGAGTTCGATAAGAAGAGGAGTGGAAGGAAGGAAGGAACGAAGAGTATGGAGAAGGTTAGAAGATCGGTCGTGCTTACCTCCGCCTCCCTGCAGATCGCAGCCTCCTCTCCTACCCGTTCGACCACCTCCAGCAGAGAAGAAAGGGAAGGAAGACAAAGTCAACCTCCCCTGCCCGATCGACACGAGTGGACCGCTTCTTTCCTCTACCCTTATCCTCGCTTTCCCTGTACGATCGTCGTCTTCCCCGGCATATTCTGCCTCCAGCAGTGAAGAAAGGGAATCAACAAGAAGAATGAGCAAACCCCTTCTTCTGCCCTTTCTTTTTTACTTGGTCTAACAAAAAGTAAAGGTTAATTTCAAGTTTGGTCACTGGATTTACAAAAAACGTTCTTGTTTGGTCACTAGAAATATTTAATTCCATTCATGGTCACTAAAATCAGTTCAACAATTCAAGTTTGGTCACTCTCCGTCCAACTCCGTTAACTTTTGCTGATGTGGCAGTCAACTCTCATAGTTGACCGTTAAATGAATGATGTGGCAATTAAAAAATAATTAAATTTAATCTTTCATTATTTCCACCTCATTTTCACAATTATTAAAAAAAGAAAAACCCTGAAAAATAAGGTAAAATAAAAGAGAACTTCTATTCTCCCGCACGTCGACGGGTTTCCGACAATAGATCTCTTCACCTCCTCTCTTCTCCATCCGGATCTTCCTCCCATAATCGACCCCCAACCCTCTCGCCTCAGTTTCGAAGCTCCATTCCAGAGGTAAGCCCCTCAACGAACGGATCTCGATGTCGGCAGCGCCCGGAACTCGCTTGTCGCCGTGCTTGGTTTCGCGAACGAAGAAGGGAGAGCTCAGAGCTGCTTAATTGATGTCGCTGCTTGTTTTAATATGGATCAAGAGGCAGAGAGAGAGATGGAACCATCAGGAAGGCACACTTGCGAACTGGGTACATTCTGTATGGGTTCGGGTTCGATTCGGTGGACGATGATTATAAGCTGGTGAGGATGGCAAATTTCATCACAGGAGCAATTCCTGGAAGATGATTTTGGATGGGGCTTTCTCGGAGCTTAGTCCGTCCACCTCCCGCCAAAAAAATTGCGACTGCTCGGCAACGGCGAGGAGGAGCAGGAGTAGGTGAACGTCGACAAGGAAGAAAAAAAGGCGGCGTTCGATTCACGTCGCAACGGCGGAGGCTTTCTATCGATGTTGAAGAAGCTGTAGTTAATATGCGGCGGTGGTGGGGAGAAGAAGGCAAGGAAGAAGGGAGCGCGTCTGGCGGTGTACATCGGTGAGGAATTGCGGCGATCCCACTCTGTATCCGATTCTTGCATAAGCCCTTGCATTAGGTTTTGCATATATAGGAGAGGTATGGAGTTCTCGTTCCATTGGGTGCTGCCTTAGAGGGCTATGCTGGGCTTGAAGAATTAAATTGTCTCTTTTGACTTTTTTGCTAAGAAGTTTGATGAAGTGCCTCAGCCTGAGTATGAGAATGAAGATATGAGCTACCAAGTTGATGTGGGGTTCTGAGAGAGGGGCAGCTGCCACGAATATATCGGGCGACGGTAAGGATTTAGGTATTATAATTTTTTTTTGTTTTATTTATTTAAATTTATTGTGCAAATGAGGTGGAAATAGTAAAGATTAAATTTAATTATTTTTTAATTGCCACATCACTCATTTAACAGTCAACTATGAGAGTTGACTGCCACATCAGCAAAAGTTAACGGAGTTGGACGGAGAGTGACCAAACTTGAATTATTGAACTGATTTTAGTGACCACGAATGGAATTAAATATTTCTAGTGACCAAACGTGAACGTTTTTTTGTAAACTTAGGCCCCGTTTAGTATTGTTGCTTGTTTCTGTTTTTTGTTGTGGTTTTTCAAATTGTAGAAACCAAGAAAAAAAAATATGTTTAGTTGAGTTTTTAATTTTTGTTATGAAACAGATTTACACAACCAAACCAAAATTAAAGAAACAACAAAAGATTGCTTTGGATGTGTTTCCCCTATCTGTTGCACACGGGTTTTTTTATAGGTTTTCATTAAAAGCTTTTTTACCTTTCTCTTTCCCAGCGGCGCCCTTTCTTCTTCTTCTTCTTCTTCTCCTCCATTTCACGACCCATCGCCTATGGCCTCCCCTCTATCATCTGACTTGCCGCCTCTGCAACTCTCTCTCATCATTCTGGCGCTGCTTTAGACCTTTATCATCCTTCCGCCGCCAAACTCGAATTCACTGACGGTAGGATCCTAAAATCCCCGTCTTTTTCTTTCCAATTCAGATCCCACTCAAAATCCCCTTCCTTTTTCTTTCTAATTCAGATCCCACTCCTAATCCCCTTCTTTTTCTCTCTTTGCTGCAATGGTGATTGGTGAGACAGGGGAAATCCAGACGACTTCATTTCAGGGGCCTGTGGGGCAGTAGAAGCGGCTTCTTCAGCTTCAAGGTCGGGCGGCAAATTCCCCATTCCGGATCGACAAGTTCACCTCATGAATAGGAATAGCCGAGGACGGCCGCCACTTACATTTGCTTGTTTTTTTGCCAAGAACAGAAGCAGCAGAGGACGAACAAGATTTCAAGATCTTGATTTTTTTAACTCTTCAAATCAACGAAAACAGCAGAAGTAAACATGTTTTTCTTTTGATTTTTTTGTGTTTCATAATTTGTCAATTTTGTGAGATGAACGCGTTGTTGATTTCAGTTGTGTTGGAGTTGTTGTTGCTTTTCTGTTGGCAAAACCTTGACAAAACACAACTAGTTAAAAACTATACTAAACAAGGCCTTAGTGACCAAACTTGCAATTAACCCCAAAAAGTAAAGTTAAATTGTACAAAAAAATAAAGTAAAATTAAATTAAAATGAATTGCAAACACGGGCCTTTTTTCACTGGGTCGGGTAGTGTGGCTGACTAGGCAATCAAACTCAGCCTCTCTGTCAGCCCAGTCAGCACTTATGTTTGCCACATCATCAAAAATCTGACTGCGTTAACGGAATCTGACGGAGGGTGACCAACGGTGAAACAAATTGTAAAGTGAGTTGTTAATATGAAAGAAAAGTAATTTGGGTGACAAACATGAAAGATTTATGTAATTCGAGTGACTAAAGACCAAACGTGTAATTTAGCCCGTTTTAATATTAAAAGAGTTTATGTTTGTACACAAATTTTGTAGAGAGGTACGGTTGTAAATATACAATAGTAGAAGGATACACAAAATATTATTAACCCAATTTTAGTGGAAAACAGTAAATTGTTTTAGTAATTCTAGTAACCCAATTTAGCCGTCAGACAAACATAGCCAACCACGACAATATACTACACCGAGTAAGAGAGAGATTCTTAACTATTAGCACCATGCAAATGCAACCACAAAAACAAACCACCGGCCAATAATTTATACGAAATCGAATCGAATCAAAATTTTGGTTGCTCAATTGAAGCAAAATAAGGAACCTTGACCATCCAAGCAGATTCCATGGCTCTCTATCTGCATCTAGTGGACTCGCCTGATTCCTGATAATGAAGTTTTTTGCTCCATAAACTTACCCACTAAATGCACTCTACTCTCATCTCAACATAACACGAACACCGGCTTGTCTGACGTTACCATCCTTTTTGCAGAAGCAGTCCCTACGATTCTCTCCAGCTAAGAAAGCAACAGGGGCATTATTATTATTTACCAAAACAAAAGCACAAGGGATTAGTTTCTCAACCCCCTCATGTTAACAATGAAAAAGGCACCTCTGCTTTGCCATCCCAGATTAATCATTCACTATTGGTAAGCACTACTACTTACCCGCAACCAATCCAACTTGGAAAAGAGTGCAGTGCATGACATGTTGCTGTTGTTGGCCCCTTCAAGCATGTTAACAACCTGCACAAGAATAGCAAAAACCAACCCACCACCCCAAAAAATGAACAAAAAATTTCAGACAGGAAAGACAAACATACACACAATGAATATTTCTCCTCTGCAAATGCTGACATAGCAAGAGTAATAGCGAATGTTGTATGTAACAATCATCTCTTCAAACAACTTAAATTTTCTTTTCTCAAAATGCTAACCTCAGGATATAACTCTTTCCTTTCGGGAAGTGAATAGATGATCAAGTCTCGCACACCACGAATCTGGTCATCAGGAAACATACCACACCAGCAAATATTATGATTCATGTTTGGTAGCCATCTAAACCACAGCAAGAGATGAAGCGTGAGGGTAGGGGAGGCGAGGCAAGGGCCAAACCAACCTTGTATCTGCGGAAGAAAAGAAGCCTTTCAGTGTAGAGCATGATTTTATGCTTCCCCTGGATGAACCAATTCCGCGCACGTGACACATCTTTAGGTTTAGTGTTGCTGCAACACAATCCACGGTTGAAATGAATCAGTGAAAGTGACAATAGATGCTTAGTTTATATTACAAGCTTCACTCGGAATGATCCCAGGATCAATAGACAAATGAATGATCCTTACTCTCCAAGCAGGCAAAATGATGCGTTTTGAGACTTCAGGAAGTTACGAACTCTAACAAACTCGAAATAAGAACTGATAAATATCATGATTCCTCCCTGCACAATATTTCACAAGACCACCATCACAATGCTTTTTTATTTTTTTCCTCACTCACCACATCTGCCTTGAAGAGCAAAAATATTACCTCTTCAGAATCTTTGATCTTCGGGAAAACCTGCAAGGAAAATGATCATCAAATCAACATCGATGATCAATTCTACTTCTGTCAGCACAAGTTTATACTTAACCAATGACACTCATTCTGAAAGCCACACATGTTCATAGTCTCGACGATGAAAGAATGTGTCCAAATTAACTCCAAAACCCACAGTTACAAAAGCAAAATAATAATAACATAGAAAAATGTTAACTCATTTCTAAGCAGCAGGGATCTCTCCGGGACCCCTAAGCAACAACAATTTTATTGGAGTAACAAATGGTTAGTTTCCATGTTTCCTTTCCCCCCGGTAAGATACTTCTACAACAGAGATCGTTTAAGTCTTTTCAGAGCTAACCTTATTAATGAAATGAGCAAGGCGTATATCATCGATATCTGCAATTGAGCCCACGTCAAATCGCTCGTAGATCTGTACAAGAATGGAAACCATGTATTGAAACTCATCAGGCATCACAGCAACGACTTTGTCGGGAAGTAAAAGAAAATGCCACCAAAAGACGAGTTTCCATGAGCTAATGTAACAAGTTTGACTACATCAATGACGAAACAACATGGTGACACCACATCTGGGAATAAGTACATCAGCAACAACTTTGTGACAGTATAAGCTAATGTAACAAGTTCAACTACATCATCAATGTAGCAACCAATGCAGTCAAAAGCATAATTCTACATAAAACCGTTTTGGTGATCTACAAGCGTAAGCTTTTAAGCTTTAAACCGCAATTTGGACCACATTAGTTAGGAAAAGCTCAATTCTACGTAAAAGCGTTTGATGACCTAGAATCGTAAAAGCGTAGGCTTTTAAAGCGCGGTTTTGATTACATTGGTAGCGATAACATGGAGATACCACATTTGGGAATAAGTAATTCATAAACTGAAATGTCATGTTAGAATCCATTCCAGATACATTAAGCATTTTTTTGTTTTGTTCAATTGAACTAATGGTTGATACAGAATAGTACTTCTTCAGTAACCATCAAGCAGTGTCAATTGACTAAAATAAACACCAAGGATATCATAGATAAAAAGAACTCAGATGTATTCCATAATAACCAATAAACAATTTGTGAAAAAAAAGCAAACAGCATACCTGTCTTAGGTCTGGTAGGACTTTACGAAGAACACCTTTATGAGTCTCACATACCGACTTGATCTGATAGCAGGATAATTGGCAACCGTTTGAGAGACATTACAGAAAAATGAAAAGAACTCCAAAGAACCACACAGCAGCAACATCATCAGCAAAGCCCTTAAGATTCACAACCCATTCTCTGCGATTTTGGTTACTATTTCTTAACATCATTTGCTCACATATTGGACTCTGTACAAATTTAAGCAGGCTGATATGGTATTTGGACTGAGCTTTTCAAATATGGCTGAAACTCAACATCTTAGGAAAACAAATACATTATGGAACCCTAAAATAACTATGCTCATCAATCGATTGTTTTAGGTCCTTCGCATTTTTGGCATTTCGCTCTTTTGTCGAACCTTTTCACCTTGCACCAATGGTGAAGCCATCTATAGACGACAAGTTCACTTCAACAAAAAGGATTGAGTTACTCAAAACTAAGAGACCCAAGATCCTACGGAGATTCACAGTTCTTCGTAAGAAGCCATGGAGCTCCGCAAGATAGATAGAAAGGTAAACCAACTATTAAATTCATCAATCCAACCTAAAAGTGACCTCAGTCCTTAATCATAACACTTTTAACCGACTTCCAATATACAATAACTCAAAAAACCTGAAGGGATGTTGATATTCATCTCGGCAGGTCTTGACGTGCATCATAATGCATGATGCTTTCCACAAAGCAAGTAAGAGAAAACAAACAAGGACTTGGTCCTGTGGTAATACCACTGGTCTTGAACCTGGTTGTCCCAGGTTCAAATCTCTTAGGAAACACTACAAACATATATCACACTTGTTAAAAAAAAAAAGACAACTCACCTTTCCTTGGTAGTTAACACACCAATTATTGAATGAAGAATTGATATCTGAAGAAAGCAAATAAAAACATGGATTAGCTATAGTGTGGCGGTCATCATTGCATTAGACTGAGTGGTGCTATGTGCTCATGCCAGTTTTCCTTTCAAACAGGCCAAAACTGACAAGAACTACACACATTGGTCAGAATGTAAGCATCCAAACGAGAACCCGGACTGTCATCCCATTGTTGTTACAAGATGTAGTCATAGTTACAACTTAAGTAGGCTGAACAGGGTCGTAGAAACAGACTCAACAGGTATATACCAATTCATGGTAAAAAAAAAAAAAAGCTATATACCAGTTCTTGGTCATTTCAATCGATCCACAGTGGTATCAAGATTTCAGAGACCAATCTTAGCAAGACAATATATAAACTATATATCATATTTCCAATTACCTAAAAAATGGAAGCGCATACAGAATCAAATTTAGCAATAACATTTGTCCTAGTTGAGCTTATAATTGATTTTCCACCCCAAAAAAAGTTAATAGTTGATTGCAAGACATGCATACCAATGTCTTAGAAATGTATACCTGGGTTTACATAATGACCTAATACAATTGTTTGACGGTAAAATCTGGCATGCCCATCCAGGTGCCTATACAGAAAAAGAGATAAGGCACATGATATAAATAGAAAAAAGAACATGAAACGACCAACTCACAAACCATTTTCTAATGCGCATGATGTCAGTCCCGTGTTGCTTGGAGGGCATGTGGTTGGATTGTTCAAGAACTACAGCAAGATGCTCCCAGTTCTAAATAGTTCCAATCAACATGCATTAGCGTAGGAGGGGGGCAGCATGGGAGGGGGAGGGGAGAGGGTCAAATTATCGAATGTGAATAAGCATACAAATTCAAGACAAACAATGGGTTCGAAGCACCTACTTGCATTGCTATTACATCAGCATGATCAACTATGGTGACCTGCTCATTTTACAGTGAAACAACGTTCCTCCCATTTAGTATCTAGCAAAAAGAATATAGTAGGAACAAATAGTAATGATATTCGAAGGCATGTGCCGACAAATGAGAAAAAAGAGATAGCAAAGAGTAAATACCTCAATAGAAGAAAGATAATCAAAATCCTCTTCCTTTTTGGCCCAAACTTTGTCAATTTTCTGGAAAGACAAACATGTCAGAAATCAAATAAAAACCACAAAATGTAATGGTAAAAACCATAAAATAAAGAGTAATTCCCTGACATATACCAACAAATGTAGAGTCCTTTCGACCACAAAAATGTGAAGTTCTACGAAGTTTAATGCAGGACTTCCTGCAACAAGTACTTTGCAATCTAATTGCAGCCAAAAGCTCCTTTACTTTAAGCCTTTTGGTATCCCTTCCAACCTTAAGTTACGGCTCCCAATGACCCAAAGGACAATTAAAGGCTATTACAAAGAAATCAATGAATTTAATTTGGTGTATCTGAGCTACCAAAGTCTATATCCATGTCACAGAAATGCATAGCTAAAGCCTGCAAGGTTTTGGGTTGTGCACATCTTCTGCCACACTAGAATTGATGAAGTTGGATCTCTATGGAAACAAACACTTTCAGAAGTAACCAGAATGCAGAACTGCTGTATATCATAGAACCCTGACTTTTCAATTAAAGTAAAAAACTTTTGGATTAAGCATATTAAGGTATACATGCTTCAAATATCCAGGTAGTGAGAAGTCCAAATTAAAAAAAAATTAAAAAATAAAAATAAAACAGTAGTAGCATTTTACAGCATAAGAGTTGATAAAAACTTCTCAAGCTTAAGCATATCAAATGGGAATTTACCTTATTCTGGGATAAACTACTAAATCTTTTGTGGAATGGTTCAACTACTAAACTAACAGATTTCACCACGTCTTCAAGATCGTGATTATCCGGAATATTAATGAGAAGCTCGACATAAAGTAAAATGTAAAAAATTTCCAAGGACGCATAAAACGATACCTCCCGCAACGCAAGTGGAGAAGCAACAATCATGTCGGATGAATAAAAGTCACTATATAACCTTATGCTTTTCCTGCATAAGACACAAAAGGATTGAGAAAGAAATTCAAGAAGATGGAAGCCACATGCACTTAAGAGAATGCAGAAGAGAAGAAAAGCCACAAAGAGTAGCTCAGATTCACCAACAAAGGTTATCCTGCATGTCAAGACTGAAGAAAAGCAATGAAGTTAACAGCGAAATTCCTGTAAAGCTACATCCCACCAAATTAAATGGTTTACCTAGTAAACTTAATTCCAATCATAAAATCATCGTCAGAATTTCCACCAAAAAGTGCTTCATAGTCAGATGGCTTAGAAATCTTCTGAGATTTTGAATTTCCAATTTTGAGTTTCAATTCTTCATTGTCCAGATCGGCTTCATCTTCTTGATATCCAAACTCTTCAAGGAATCGATCCATGAACTCCACATTTACCTGCTTGAAACCGTCTAACTAGCCTAAGAAAACTATATCCAACACAACAGGATAGGAATGAAATATCTATCAGTAAGAAAATTGTCTCTGCTTCATAGGTATGCCTTCAGAATGACTGATGAAACATACTACAGAATAATTTTCTTGGAAGAGTTGTGCGAAAATAATGGGTACACCTACCGTCACCATTCCTTCCACATGTCAAGCATAGAAGAAAATGATGGGTACAAATGCAAAATTACTTATGAACGAAGAAAATACTGGACAATTTACCTTTGAAGCTTGAGGAGTCAATTGAATCAGCCTCTTCACAACACGAAGTGCAATGTGTCTAATTGGCAACAAGATCAAAACCTGATATAGCCATTTGAGACAAAAATAAGCAAGTGCGCTAAGCCGCTAACTTCCAATGACTGGGGAAAACATTAGTTCAAGAGGGTCTTGTAGCACTTCTAATTCAACACTTAAATGCAATAAAAGGCAACACTAGGGCTCTTTGTTATGTTTTACAGTTACTTTTAAGTTGTAATAGTGTGTGTAACCCCATTTCGAATCTGGATGATTAAACATTTTGTTTAGATGATAGAGTAAGACATTTTGGTAGTAGTTAATAAAACACCACTAACCTGAGTGGTTCAAAAATAAAGGTGAGAAAGATTGTCTTTCACTACCGGTGAGAGAAAACTATAAAACAGAATGTCACCCACTCATTACCCCAACTTATCTCATAAGTTGGCTCATTCGGGTTAACTTATCATTAACTTATTGTTAAGTAAAAATAAGCACCCACGTTATTTGGTAACGAACTTCCCTTTGTCTGGATCAGGGAACTTGGTGAAACAAGAAAATAAGAGTGGGACATGTACATATGCATGGGCAGGAAGGAGGGCTAGTGAATACTTCTATTAGATGTTTAAGATATACGAGGAGAGCAGTACTCTAAGCAGCACTGAAATGTCAGTAGCCACATTTTACAAGCAATGAAGCAAGATATTCTTTATCAACTGATCAACTGACAGATATTATCATTCTGAATCTTGCAGGTACAAGGTAGTGCAATTTTCTGTAAGCAATTAATTGTTTAAGAGATACGAGGAGAGCAGTACTCTAAGCAGCACTGAAAGGTCAGTAGCCACATTTTTTACAAGCAATGAAGCAAGATATTTTTTATCAACTGACAGATATTATCATTCTGAAGCTTGCAGCTACAAGGTAGTGCAATTTCCCGTAAGCAATAATGCCTAATTTGGTGCATCATTAATTGCCACTTCCAAGGTGCAGCCAGCTTAGAAGTCAAACTAAAAGCAAAAATCCAAATTACCTTTGGCCGAGTGAATCCACGATCACGAACAACATCATCAATAAGCAACTCACTTTCAGCAGTTTCTTGAAGCTTGGCAACTTTCGTATCATTCTTTTTCACAAGATCTATACTTCTGAAAATGTGATTCAACTGCAACATAATATTACCAGATTGAGATTATGGATATACAGTTCCAAGAACACCACTACAGAACAAAAGAAAAGGAGATGCAAGCTCACAGAATGCATGAGGTACGCGTCCATAATGTTAGAATCTTCTCCGTGACCTTTGAGATAGAAAGGTTTCTTGTTACAATGCAACACATCCCTGTAGCTATTGACTGCAGAAACAAACAAAGAACATCAACTATAGACTGCTGCACAGATACAAAGAACACAGTATGTCAAACTGCATTCCAAACAAGTACAGTAGTAACGAAAAGGCAAGGCAATACTACAACAAAGAAAGCAGGAGGAACAAAACTCTCACAAGGACTATCCAAACACTGGTTCTGCTCAGGAAATATAAAAATGGAATTAGTTCACAAAGATTAGTCAAGTGATAGAAATCTCATTCCTCTAGACCAAAAGAGCACATGAAAGCATCAAGACATGCTAGGCTTAATTTAAAGGCCTTTTTAGTATCAGTAATTTAAGTACTTCGATCTGCTACATCATGGAATTCATTAAGTATGCTTCTTCACACCATAGAAGAAATCAAGGTGAAGTCTAGTGTTTCCCCAAATTTAACATGACTACATTCTTTCAAGAAATTAGGTTTAAATATTAGGTATTACATGTTTCATGAGCGCACAATAGTGATTAACTAGAGAGCCCGAAATGCCGAAGATTTTGCTGATAAGACATCAAATGATAATATCAACATGTTTCATTCAACAAGGTTTTCATATAACCTGAAATTGTAATGGTGGCTTTATCCTATTCGTTACAGTTGATCAAGAGAGTTCTTCATATGCAATTACAAAATCGAGACAAGGATACTGAACAATAAACATAGTTCTACAGGGAATAAAACAACTTACAGATGTTGAAGAAAGAACCATGCTTAGACACTGGAAAATCTCTGCCTCCATACGAGACAAGGATACTGAACAATAAACATAGTTCTACAGGGAATAAAACAACTTACAGATGTTGAAGAAAGAACCATGCTTAGACACTGGAAAATCTCTGCCTCCATACAGCTTGCACACTTCCAACCAATGCTTATACAAACTTTGTTTGACATCCCTAGTAGAACTGTCCAACATATCCTGTGTCTAAATGATTCAATATGTTACAATTGAATCTCACAGTAAAAAAAAATTGTTTTTCGAGAAGATTCAACATTATATATAGCAAGTAGATTCCAAATCTTCAAGCCATAGTCTAGTACTTTGGAATTACAGTTACGAGTATAGGTGTTTTCTCGTATAGTCCGGGTATCATTGTGTGGTATACGACTGGTAATCCTATACATATTGGTTGTTCTTTCGTACTTAGAACATGGTATCGAGGACCTAGTATTAATTCTCAGATGACAATATGTATGATATGTAGCAAGTAGATTGCAAATCTTCAAGCCATAATCTAGTACTATGGCATTACAGTTAAGAGTAAAGGTGTTTACATGTATAGTCCGGGTATCCATTGTGTGGTATGCGACTGGTAACCCCATCCATATTGGCTGTTCTTTCATACTTAGAACATTGTAACGAGGAACCTGACTTTGTCCTAGAATTAATTCTCAGATGAAAATACATATGTCCTGACCTTTGACCTAGGAAAATGAGTTTGCACTTACTATCATATCAACTACTAAGTTGCATAGATGCACCTCTTTGCTCTTCATTGAGGAAATTAGGAATCAATGAATTATGTGAGTACATGATTTCTTTACAATAATTACCATCGTCACTTTTAATCACCATAGTCTTAGCTAACAGAAACATGGATGAATAAAGAAATTGGAGAAGCGTAGACCTAACTTAATGAAACCTAGGCGAATAATTCAAATGAAAGAGGTAAATGAACAGTCAACATTGGGCGTACCTTTAGGCAACAATCTCCTGTCCCCACCCACTTGCAATTTGACAAGTCAAGAGAAGGCACTTCCCATCTGTACTTCCATTTCTTTTTGGAAAGACTCTCGACCTCTTCATCGGATAAGTTTTTTTCTAAATGTAAAAGAAAAGAACTGCAAGCACAAAGATATAGCGACTTTGAGAAGCTGCAGCAAAAGGTTATTGAGAAGTAAATACGAACAGAAAGACGAGCAATTACAGATGCTTTTTCAAGGACAATAATGATCAACCACACGCAAACAATCAGCACTCATGCTAGAAACCAAAAGACGATGACAGTAGAATATTTAGGTGCATCTCCCACAAAGACATGAGCATGCAACAACGAAGAATGACATAGATTAATATTCAGGGGCCATGTGCTGACAATAATACCATCATCAACCTTAAAAGAATTTATCCATTAAATAAGATCAATCATTATTTATAACTGCAAGACAAACATAACCTGGTAACACCACGCTCCAGGAACAATTAGTCCTTAATGAGACAAGACTCCTAAACCCAGAGCATAAAAGCTGGCTTTAGTATTCAATCAAGTAAAGAGTGTGTCTGCCGTAGAAAAAAAGGGGATACAATCACAACCTGTGCAACTTACTGAATGCCGTTTGTTCGATCAGTGCTCATTAATGATGTCGTTTGTTCGATCCTTGCCAGCGACAACTTTTTTTGCTTATCTCCTCCTTTCCTAAATGCCGCCGTTTTGCCCACTAAAAGTAAAACCCTACGAGCAGCTAAACTCGATCCCTCTCCCGCGCATGAGAAGAGAAGCAGCAGCGACAACCGCGTCTGCAACGGGAAGCAGCGAAGGCGAATCCTTCCTCCAGCCGGCGAAATCAAGCAGCAGCGACGCGATTCTCCACCGTCGAAGAGAACCTACAGCCGGTCGCCATCTCCCTCCTCCACCCGACGTTTCGTTCGAGCCTCTCCATCGGACGAATCCTCTCCTCTAGCAGCGTCGAAACAGCCGGCCTTCCCGCTCCCCAGCAGCATCGACGATCTCCTCTGCTTGAGGTTACTTTATATATATATATATATTATTATAACTAATCATCGAGCGTACTGTTTTGATTTCTGTTTGAGTGTGGCTGAGCTAGGTATTTGCTTTTTTTTAGTTGCAGACAAAAAGATGAAGAGGCGAAAACTGAGTAAGAAGGTCGCTGTTTCTACGCCCCATACCATCTCGAACACGGAGTATTGGAGTGATGATGGTAATCGTTTCCTTGAGTTTCAGTTTATGTTAGATTTTACAGTCACTGGGTTTCATCCATACTGTTGTTATTCTGTTCTTGGTCCTATATCAAATTGGCCATCTTCGGTAACTTGGAGATCTAGAGTCTCAACTAATAGTTGTTCTTCACTCATGACTTCTTTAGTCTTTTTTTAGTTCATTAAGAGTTTATTATGTAGGGCTCAGTTAGGAGTTTCGTTAATCTGTCACGATCTTATCCCCCAGCATAGTAAAGTGCCCTGCAGCTTGTGTACTGAAGTAGAGGAAGCATGCATCTTTCTTTGTACTTTTAGCATCATGCTGGTTTGATTGCTTGTTATGTGTTAGTGAAGTCTACTAAATCATTTTTGTTACTTAATATGTTATAAATGTAACACATTATGATAATGTAGACTTTTTGTTCGTTTAAGTGAATATCACCTTCTGTGTAACTAAAGGACTGTGCATTACCCTGCTCCATAGTTAAGATGCATTACCCTACTCCTCTTTTGCCGTTATTCCTACAAAGGACTGTGCATTCCCTTCTGTGTAACTAAAGGTCTGCCTTAATTACGGAAAAGAAAATGCTCAGGCTTAGCTGTTGATCCATATTGTTTTTGCAAATACTAAGCTTATTTGGATGATGGGTGGATGACAAAAGTTTCAATTTTGAAAATATCTCTGTAGCCTTTAGAACTTGCAGTATCAAGAGAGGGAGAAAAAAGTGAGCGACAATAGGTCATCCTATTACAGCATTTCCTAATGAGATGCTCTTCTTTCTGATTTATTCTTGTTGGACTGCGACACTGCTGCCAAACTCACACAAATTCATGCTTGAAAAAGTGACCTGCAATTTTCTATCATTGTTGACATCACAGGTCAGAGTGAGGTTACCGAATCTGGCTATGACTCAGAGTCCTTTGCGCTAGATAAAGAGCATACCTTTACGCTGGATGCTCATTCTGCTGTTAAGACATCTACACAGGAAAGGTATATGTTCCTCTTCTGCGATTCTTTCTTGTTAATGTTGGAATTCATGCTTTTGGAGTGATATTGTTCGAGGATGTATTGATAAAGTTCTGCTGGATGGTCTTTAAGGTTAATAAACATAACTAGTATGCTCACTTGCTCAGTCATTAAAGGCTGAATACAGTGTCTGTGTATTCATGCTTTTGGAGTGATATTGTTCGAGGATGTATTGATAAAGTTCTGCTGGATGGTCTTTAAGGTTAAGAAGCATAACTAGTATGCTCACTTGCTCAGTCATTAAAGGCTGAATACAGTGTCTGAGTGAATAATCAGTAGGGTACTTCTGATGAATTATTGCCTGCTTGCATCTCTACTATGCTTGCTTTTCCATTAAGTAGGTGCTTGACTCCATCATGCACAGGACTAAGAATGACTTGTTTCTTTGTTTGTTCATCTACTTGAGCTATTTTATTGTAAACCATCAAATCTTTTTTGTGGAGGGCTTATTTGGTGAAAGATAAGAAAATACAAACTCTGCTCATAGAGAATTGATGTACCTAGACTGCTTAAAGAGCTAGGGTTGGTGAAATTAAGGGTTTTTTTATAGGTAGGAGGAGGAAACTGATAGAACAGTCGCGAACAACTCATAAGGTCTGGTGGTCTAGGGCCAGAACCAAAATTAATGGACTTTTAAGAACCCACAACCCACAAAGACCAATTAAGAACACCACTACCAATTAAGGAGACAACATAAAGACCAATGCCTAAAATAAGCAATGGGTAGAGGCCAACAAACATGCATATATCAGAATAGCAGCAAAGGATGGACATTCTTCTCGATATACAAAACCCTAACCAGCTAGCTAGAGACAACACACAGTCCGTACAACAGAAATAGGTAATAGCTGTAGGAGGGCTCACCTCATCTTGCGGAGTGCGGTGGACATCTCCTCTCTCTTCTTCTTGGCCCTCTTGTGGGTTCCGAGCTTCAACGCTCTCTTGTCCTTACCGACCTTCAAAAGCTCAGTGATCCTCTTCTCGTACGGTGCGAATCCAGCAACTTCCCTGATAAGGTTCCTCACCAAATGAACCCTCTTGCTTGTTTTCTGTTTCAATACAGAATCGACCAATCAGAAAAGCGGGAAAAATCATTAGAATCCATGGGACATGAAAACTGCACAGAGATGGAAATCCGGTATTGAAACAGACAGATGTATAGGCAAGAAAAAGGACTACGTACCCCCTTTCTGTCAGATGGACGGGGCGGCAAATCCCGCTTGGTGACGATGTGCCCCTTGTTCAGACCGACGGCCAAACCACTCTTCGCGGCGGGAGCCATTTCCTGCCGGAGAAAGAAAGCAACAGAACCTGTGGAGTTAGAAATCCGAAGAGCTGATTGAACGATCAAGCGACAGGATTGGAGGAGTAGGGGTTTTGGGCCGGCCCGATTTATGCTACAGATGGGAAGATTGAAACCCCGAAGTGAAAGGGCCGCGTTTTGGGCCATGTATTTGGGATAGCAACAGTTTGGGCCGGCCCGATGTATATAAGACTTTAAGCCTTTCCAAGTCAGTTAACGGGACCCCCTTTGTTCAACAAAGAGAATGACAATGATTGGAAGCGGTAATTAGAAGTGGGCAATGATCCGTTTCACACAGAACTGAATTGTATAAAGTTGACGTTCGATGTCCTAAAATCTGGCTCGCAAGTCATGAATTGTTGCTTCTAATTTCTCGAAATGATTGGGTTGATGTTGTATTGTGGCTAGTTCTCAAATTCGGGCGGATTGAACTTTTTGCTCCGTTGTTGATCATGAATATAGCAGGCGTTTGTTAAAGTGGTCTTCGGATAATCATTTGGCTTCCTTCCTCCTTGGACTGGTCATTAACCATATGGTACATGGGGTTGGTTGTAGCTCCAATATGGGCGCATATCCTTCTTGAGGTTGCCTTTGGTAACCTAGTAACCTTGATTCCCATAATTAACATCATCATGTCATTTCCCTTCAAGGTTCCATCAATCTTGATCGTCATGGTCTTCTTCTTCACATGCATCACGCATGAACAAGGTTGCTACTAGTTCCTTCTTTGGCTCCATCTTAGCATCCTTTAGTTGTTGAGAAAGCTCCTTCATTTGCTGATGCAAGATGATATTCACTTCCTCGCTTAATTGGGCTTCTTCCAATGGTTGTATCACTGATTCTTTGGATCAATTCTTGGACTTCCTTACAAGTGTGGTGAAGTGCTCCTGCATTTCACTCTGTCATTTGTGTGAATCTACATCGGGTGACTGCTTCACCATCATCTTGGTATCTCGATAGACCTTTGGAGAAGTACTTAGATACTTTCTCTTGGGTGAATACATGATGGGGGAACGCCTTTAAATACTCTTGGAATCTCTTCACCCTGTCATAGAATGTCTCTCCTTCCTTCTGTTGAATTGAATTGAATAATATAATCTTTAGGCTCCTCTGTACGCCAAGGTGGAAAGAACCCCTCAATGAATGCTTGTGAAAGGGTCTTCCAATTGGTGAAGGTGTTGGGCGGATGATAGTCCAGCCACTTTTTTGCCATTCTCATCGGTGAAAAATGGAACACGCACAATCAAATGGCACCTTTGATGGCTTCATCTCCAAGAATGGAATCTACAATCTCCAAAAACGTCTTTAGATGTTGCACGGATCATCATCACTCCTTCTTGTGAACCTCACATTCCATGGTTGTTGATAGTGTAGCAATACTCGAAGTAATGTTGAAAGCTCTTGATCTTGATACTCATATAGAGTATGTGGATCCTCATTCTTTGCTCCTCCCTAATTGTGGCTATTGTGGAACATGTTACAAAGGATGCTTTTTCTTCAAGATAGAAGTTGCACCCTTTGCTAATTTCCTTCTCCCAAGTCGAGATCAACTTCCTCTTCTAAGCTAGGTGCTTCTTCTTTCTATCTCAAAAAGGATGAACTCAATGCTCCTCCTTCCTTGATGATCTCATTCACGATCTTTTGGTTTTGTGTTTCTCTTCTAGTGGAAACTGCACTTATAAACGAAAATCTAAAAAACAAACTAAATCTAAAGCTAATAAAGAGACATAAGATGGTTAGATGCTTTCAAATACTATTAGGAATCATCGAGAACGATGCCAAAAACTTGATGCGTGCGAGTGGTATGTACAATCAAAGTAATAAAATTCCTAGACATGTTTAGAATCGTATTCCACAATGTCGTTTAATAATAACGACTCACAACCAATCATTCAATGCTCAAAAAAAGATATAGCAAAAAATAGATGGGTTAAGATTCCCTATGTTTAGTGATTTGTGAGATGCGAAATAAAGTAAAACATAAACTAAATAATATGATAAGTAAAGGATACGCAATTGATGAGAAAGTTAATCCTAGATTATCATAATTCATAATGACATGCATTGATGCATCTTCTATCATGCAACCCTATTCTTCTACTAAAGCATTCCTAATCGAACTTCTGACACATGCAAAATGAACAATAATTAGCTAGGGGTGGGCATACGGTTCGGTAAAACCGAACCTAACCGAACCGAATATAAACCGAACCAAAACCGAATTAATGTTATTCGGTTCGGAATTCGGAAGAGAAAATGACATATTTCGGAAACCAGGGTTCTTTCGACCGAACCGAATTTCCGAATTCCGAACCGAAAAACCGAATTATTATAATTTCAAGTTCTAAATGGTGGATTTTTATGTTTCTACTTATTATGATACTTAAATATTTGAATCATGTTAGTGTTTTATGACTTATGTGTTGAAATGTTTGATTTTATCATTGATGATACATATTTATTGTTTACATTAGGGTGAAAAATAATTTAAAAAAGAGAAAATACAAGCTAACCTCACTATTTCAGTTTTGTATGAAAAACCGAACCGAACCGAATTATAATTCGGTTTGAACCGACCGAACCGAATTATAATTCGGTTCGAATTTGGTTTGAGGTTTGATAGAATTCGGGGACCCGGTATGCATAATTTCGGTTCGGTTTGAACCGAACCGACCGAATGCCCACCCCTATAATTAGCTACTATGTGCCTTCGCTTCATGCCATTAGACTAATCAAACAAGAAAGTATGGATAACACATTATTAAGTGTGAATCTCTAATAACCATAACATTGGTATATATTATTGTTGATCTAAGGTATCGAACATTTAACAGTCATGTATGGATGGTTGATCATTCCATATCATACATGCATAAGATAATGACATATCACATAAGAGTAGTTTCCTGACAACTTAACATGAATAGGGCTAATTTCACTACGAGCCCAAACTATTCTAAAAGTGTCATTTGTGTCCTAAACTATTCAATATGACAAATCTGGCACGAATTATATGCGTTTTGTGACATTTGTGACTATTCAATATGGCAAATCTGGCACAAACCACATAGGTGTTGACTAGATTTTAGCTTAAATACTAACAGTCTACGCCGGTCAGCATTAACATATAATAATTTGTGTCAGATTTGTCATATTGAATAGTTTAGAACACAAATGACACTTTTTGAATAGTTTGGCCTTGCTAGTGGAATTAGCCTTAAACAATACTATAGTAGCACATAGTAGATGATATGGGCAACGAATTGTTAGGGCATCATGAAGCTAAGACATTTGAATAATATTAGCATCACATGAATAAGGCATCTAATGGTACAAGTATCGATTAACATAGATAAACAATTACAAAAACATCTCATTATGCATAAGAAGAAGATGCAAAATGCATCAATAGAATTCACATCTTTAACAACAAAATTGAACTAACAATACATAAGAGAGAAGGATGGCACCACTATCGATGATGAAGATATCTCCTTAGTTGCACCCTCATATGAATGTTAATTCGACTCCCTTGAGCCGAGTAACTCTTTGATTGAGTAATAAAGGGTATTTCTAGTAATGTTTTGCAGCCTACTAAATCCCATAAGCTGACCCTCTATTTATAGTAGAAGAAAAATATAGGTATTTTCCTCCTAAAACATGACCAAAGGTGTCATGTTACCTAGTGTTGGAAGTTTGGTATCGGTATTTGGGATATAACAAATATCGTATCGAATTTATCACTATTTGATATTACCGAATACCAGTTTATTTTTTAGGGATTGGGATAGGGATTCATTTTGGAGTGCTATTCGGTAATCGGGATTATGGGATTGAGATTGGTATATACCGAAATACCGAGAAATACCAAAAATTAAAAATTAATTAAATATAGCACACAATGTTTATTCATTCTTCACTATTTCACAACTTAGAAGCCTCATCCAACTCAATTTTGACTTTCCAATTTAAGTCACTCTCTTCTCTCACCTAATATTCTTTTATTTTCATAACACCAAAAAACAAACACTAGGATTGGTCGTCTCTCAGCCTCCAATTCATCAAATTAAAGATTACCAATGACAAGAATTTGAGATGTCACCCCTCCTCCATTCTCTTTATCCATATCATAGCTCTAGATAAATTCAAGACTCTTTGCTTAGTCTCTTTACCCAAAATTAAACAATCAAATCTAATTTATAAATTAAATTATTAATTACAAAGATAATTAATTTTGCATTCGATAATACCGATTGGGACACCGCAATACCAATTGGGATACCAAAATTTAGGAAATGGGATTGGGATACCGAAATTATTTAGGGATTGGGATTGAGATTGACTTTAGGGTGTAATTCGGTATTCAGAATTTCGGTGTTTGGTATTGGGATACTGATATCGTACCGATTTCCACCCCTACTGATACCCATGGGACTCAGATTTCTTATCCTTGGAAAGAAGAAAGGAATATTCCCAAAGCTTCCATGGGCTTGGGCTTACGGCGGTCAAGCGATATTCAGGGCTTTTGAGGGTTTTCCTCCGGATTTGGCTTGTTTGGCCCACAAGTAATCTCCCCATGGATTTTCCACACAACGTGATGGATTTGGCCCAGCGGCGGTTGGCACCTTCGCAAATCCCAACGTGGGTTTCGATGCAGGCTTGGGCTTAAATTTCTCTTGGGGACTCATGATGGGCTTACAGGACGACTTCTTGAAGACTTCCCCACCATTTGGCTTCGTTTACAGACGAACCACCTTGATCTTCTAGTAATTCTACTTCTTGGTCCTTCAACTTGATCCAATTGATGAACCAAATCATCCTATATCGTGTTTGACCTTGAAATGCAAAAAATAACAATAGCATAAAATGATACTAAAATACATCTTATGTCTGTTATAAGCACATTAATCAAATAGTTATAATTTTTATCTAAAATATAAAAAAATATACTAAAGATGCATTGATAGAAGGGGAAAATGTATCAAACACCGGAGTGATAAACACTATAATTTGAGTGTAATCAAACACAAGGGTGCATAGGTGAAAAGCAATGTTGGCTAATTAATTGTCTTGAAAGATTGGTTCTAATGACAACATATTAATTTAGGTGCTTCGATGTCGTGCCCAAAGGCAAGAAACAACCTAAATGAACAAGATATGTGTATGAATCGATTGCTCAAAATCGTATCGAATTGATAAACTTAGGTGAGCAAAGGAGGCATACACCATAAGTCAATCAATCAAAATTCGGGAAAACACCTATACAAAATTGACATTCAAGTTCAATTGACATTCATATGTTCATAAAAAACAAAGTTAATGTGATTTGAGAATTTGATCGAGCACTTGGTGGTCAAATAAGCAAAGCATTAAAATTCATACAATCAATGCCCATTAATGCCTCCAAACCACATATATTTATTCACAAACATTCCAATCATGCAACCACTCAAACAACATTTCAACATTCCATCATTTATAGATTCATCAATCATCCATTCAAGCTCATTCCCAACTAAGGCAAGGATTCATTCGCTATTACTCAAACTGCAAAAACACCTTAAAATAAGATTCAAGCATGCAAGTTCTTTATTTAAATTCAAGGAGACAAAACCTAACCAATGTTAGGGTTCCTTCCAACTACCACATCTTTTGCGTCTTAATGTTGGACGATTTCCCTTAAGTTTCGGTCCAAATCAAAACCCCTTTAAAATTGAGGCTTTCCTTGCCAAAATGGAGTGTTAAGTATTAACCGGTTTTGCAATCATTCGGTGAAGGCTCAGGATTTCGAGAGTGCTTGAAACACCGCCTATGGAACCACATTTCACCTTCTTTTCTCTTCTCTTTGTCGCGAACCAAATATTGTAACATTGGTTAGTCATAATCATCAGATTGTCTCGGCAAAAAGTTGTTGCAAAGGGATCTGATTTTAGGAGCTTCTCTAGGTTATGTGACCTTCCTTGGTCGTATTGAGTGACCTCTTCGGGAACCTCAATCTGGATAATCCCCAAAGATTTATCATCCTCTTCTTCAACCTCCTCTATTTCCTCTAGATTGATGTCTTCCCCCTTTTAAGATTCAAGCTCACCCTCTTCATCACTTTCTTCTTCTTCTTCATCCTCCACGACCTCATCATTGCACCCTTCTTTTAAGTCTTCTTCTTGTTGAGTATGGTAAAAAATGGGGTCACGAGCAAGATCTTCACTAGGTAGGCAATCGTGCTCTTCTTGCTCTTCCACCACTTCTAGTCCTTATTCCTCCTATTCATCTCCAAATTTTACATTGAAACAACCCATAGGAAGATTAGGGTCACTAGTGTCGATGCACTCGTACCCTATATTGAAGCGCTCCAGTGCCACATTGTTGTGCTCTTCATTTTCGTTGGTAGTCTGTGATAAAGCATGACATTGCTAGGCTCACCAACTTCTTTTTGAATGCATTCTTGATCAAGGAAAATACAGAATTTCCTAATAGATACTCTTCGTTGGAGTAACTCTTCAGACTCCGCTAGAAGGTCGTGTGATGTAGATGGAGCATTGCACTTCTCCATTGTGGATTTCAATCTCTCACTCTTCATCAAGAAGTCTTCCCATTCCAACTCCAAGTTGATTGTGGCCTTTGAGAGTGATCGATATTTCTAATCGTGGCATGAAAGGTGGTCTTCTTGATAAGTGGAGTGAATTTCATACCCTTGGAGGTATGCTTGATGATTACGGAGAGGGGTTGGCCTCGACCTTGGATACTCGAATCCAAGACTTGCATCAGTGCTTGAAACTCCGGGATAACACTAATTGGGCAGTTGGTGATATCCCCAATAGTTGTGCCACCATTCGGATCCATGTCTACAAACTATATATACACACAAAAACAACCTATAAAAGCAAAGATGAGGAAAAAACCCAAAAAGCGAACAACTTAACATAAGATAACATACTGATGACCTGATATATACACATGTTTTTGTCCACCATTCTTATACCGTTTGAGCCTCATTTCTCATGTCTTAGGCCGATTCCACGATAGGTTGTTCTGGTTTGTGATATTTCAGGTCCTAGTACGTGAATGGAGGTTTGGGAACGAGTTCAGGGTCGATTGGACAAAGACTGGACGTTTGGCGAGAAGCTGGGAGACCACACGGCCAGACCTAAAAACCACACGGCCGTGTGGAATCCTTTTGCGCGGGCAAATTGCGTTGGCTGTGTAATGGACCCTTTGTGGCCGTGTGGAAATCACCGAGACCTTCACACGGGCAGGCCGAGATTTCACATGGCTGTGCAGTTCTGGCCGTGCAGCGTGTATGAAGCCACTTAAGTGAAACGCCGCGTTTTGCACTTTCACACGGGCAGCTGGGAAATCTACACGGCCGTGTAGTCGGGAAATTCTGGGTTTTAACCCAATTTCGGGTCTTTTGAAGAAAAATCGAGTTTTGAGCAAAAAACAGAGTTTTAGAGAGAGAAAGTGTGAAAACAAACCCTAGGAGCTATTTGGAGTGGATCTCTCACCATTGAAGCCTAGATTGCATCCCCAGGAGTGAAGATCGACATCCCATAGAAGATTATCCCCATCTTTATGAGTATGACTGCTCTGATTTCTGTTTTTCTCTCTCTCTCTCTATGGAGTAGAACCCTCTCTCACTTGGGTATGAAGAACCCTAGTTCCATGTGTTCGGAATCTTGATTGTAATGACTTTGGATTGATATGCTGATTGATTTTAATCGATTGATGCATGATTCATTGAGTCAATTGAAGTCTGATAATCTTTTCTTGATTTCTGCTGCAACCTAAGATAGATAGAATATGATTAGGTTGTTAGAGCGTCATCTATCGGTAGTAGTAGATTGGTTATACGAGAGTTAATCGATTTACTGCTTTGTACTGGAATCCAATTCTAGTAGTGGAGTTCTGTGTTTATTGCGTCAGCAGTCTATCTTGGTGAAGGTTAGTCACCTGCCGGTTAGTTTGTCTGAGAGGGCTTGGTCAGCTTAAGAGATTCCAAGCTACTGTTGGATCTTCCGTAGTTTAATCAACGGTAAATCAACTAAGGGTAAGTACAACTTTTACCTAACTAAGGAGCTAGGGGGACTCATTCCCGAGTGACTCTTCCCTTGCTAAAGAACTTCGAACCATTTCCTGCTTTCTTACTACTTTTGCTTAAATCACAATCACTCGACTTAGTTTGCTAGATAATCACGGAGTAGGCAGTAGATCTGGACCCCGGGTTGACAAATAGAGCTTGCCACTTTACTGCATTTCCGGACTGCGATTACACTTGGTCGCAGTTTGGTGTTGTCTTTTAGCGTGTCAAGTTTTTGGCGCCGTTGCCGGGGACCCTCTAGGTTATTGTGGAAATGTGAAAGTCTGTTACTCTAGCTTTTTCTTTACTACATTCTCTCTCTTCCACCTTTGTGCCTTCACGGGTTGTGTTTGCATTCTGTGTGCAGGTAGTGCATGACCCGGAGCCAGTCCGGTGATTTACTGCCATTAGACCAAGAGCTTGAACGGACTTGTAGGAACTTCAAGTGGGATTTAAAGGCGCGACTGGCTGCGGAGGAGGCTCTAGCACAGCTGCAAATAAATCAGGAGGACGACATGGGTGAGCCTCAAGACAATGATGTGATTGTCCCCAATGAGCACACCATGGGGTATTACTGGACCGCTAGAGCAGCAGACATGAGGTCTCCCATCCGGCACCCTCAAGTTCCTGCCAATAACTTTGAGGTGAGCACCTCTGTCATCACCATGCTATGCGGCTCGGTGGTATTCCGTGACAAGGAGTGGGAGTGCCCCCGATCACACCTGAGGCAATTCCACGAGCTCATTGATGGGATCAAGATCAATGGGGTCCCAGCCAATGCCATCCAGCTGAGGTACTTCCCATTCACTTTGGAGGGGCAAGCCAAGGAGTGTATGGACACCAGGCCCCCCGGATCGATCACCACGTTCGCCAACCTGGCGAACAAGTTCTTCACCCGCTACCATCTTCCGTCGAAGATGGCGGACCTGCAGAAGGAGATCACCCACTTTTCCTAGGATGAAGATGAGACCATTCAGAATGCTTAGGAAAGATACACCAGTCTTTTCCTCAAGTGTCCCAACCATGATTTTACTGACGCCTTCAAGGTGGGCACCTTCTACCATCCTCTTCCCAGAAGACAAGTAGCTGATTGACTCGGTTTGCGGCGAAAATATGCTTACCAAGAGACCGCCACAGCTGAATCAACTCTTTGAAGAGATGGCAGAGTAGGGATATGATTAGGGAACTGCGAGGATATCGAGACGAGCACCAGGGCGGGGTGTGCATGCTGTAGCCACCCAGTCGTCTGATTTGGTACTTGTGGTATCTAAGCTAGTCTCAGCCATTTATCGTTCTGGGCTGGTTTCAGGGACAGGATAGCAACAAGAGATGCACTGCCAGTGGTGCGAAAGCTCCCATCACACTGTGGAGGATTGTCAGGCGATGAGGGAGTCGACTACTCCCTAAGAGCAGGTGGACTTCATCGGAAATGCCAGGCGTTTCGACCCATACAGCAACACTTAGAACGAGGGGTGGCGCCAGAATCCGAACTTCTCCTGGGATGGGACCAATCCTAGGCCACCAGTCTCCCAGGGACCGCCAAGCTTCCAAAGGCCTCCTTACTAGCCCAGACAAGGGCAATTTCAGCATCAGCAGCCTCTCTACCCGCCCAGACAGGGGCCAGTTCCTCCTTAGTCACAGATGCGGCCATTTCAGCATTAGGGTGCAGCCCCCACAGCCCCAGTACAGAGTGATCCGATGGTCGATTTGCGAGATCTGGTGGGTTCTCTGACCACCTCCAGTGCAAATAAGTTCAACAACATCGAGCAATTCATTGAGAAAGCTTCAGGTATATTATTGGAGCTAGAAGCTGGCCAGAGAAACACGCAGGCTGTGCTGCGGGATATCCAGACCTATCTTGGGAGTGTGGCACAGGCTGTAGCCCAGAGGACTCCTGGTACTTTACCCGGTCAGACCATTCCTCATCAGCAGGACCCAAATGAGCACTGCAAGGCCATTACTACCAAGAGTGGCAAGGTGACTATTGATCCACCTGTCCGGGCACAGGAGAGAGAGACCCCTATTTCAGCACTTCCAGCTAACGAAGAAGAAACGAAGAAGGAGGTTGAGGTGCCTACTCCTAAGCCACAACTAGTGGTGAAGGAGTATGTCCCACAACTTCCCTTTCCTACTCGGTTGCACAAAGACCGACTGGAGACTAAGTTTGCCAAGTTCATGGCAATGTTGAAGCAGGTAAACATCAGTATGCACTTCGTGGAGGCATTATCGAAGATGCCCAAGTATGCTAAGTTCATGAAGGATCTCTGCACCAACAAGAGTAAGCTTGGGGAGCTGTCGACGGTGATGCTCAACGAGGAGTGTTCTGCCATCCTGCAGAACAAGCTACCAGAGAAGCGCAAAGACCCAGGGAGTTTTACTATCCCTTGCATGATTGGTAGTTTGCATATAGGAAAGTCCTTGGCAGATTTAGGCGGTAGCATAAACTTCATGCCATATAAACTATTTAAAAAGCTAGGCCTAGGTGAACCCAGTAATACTAGGATGAGCATTCAACTTGCTGATAGATCCATTGTGCATCCTAGGGCATTGCAGAGGACTTGATAGTCGTAGTAGGGCTATTCTCATTTCTTGTTGATTTTGTGATTCTTGATATAAATGAGGATGTGGATGTGCCTTTAATACTGGGTATACCTTTTCTCGCCACCGCCAAAGCACTTATTGATGTGAATGATGGAAAGTTGATTTTGAGGGCTGGGGATGAACAAATCACCTTCTCTGTTTCTGATAATATGAAACACCCCCAGCGTCATGATGATCTAGACTACTGCGATGTTATTGCTGCAATCACGAGTGCGGGTACTGACGATTTCCTCGAGCGTTGTCTTTTGCTAGAGGAACAGGCATCGCAGGAGTTGCAGCTGGAGGAGTAGCTCGCGGAGCTAGACGAAGCTGCGATCGAGAGGCGAGAGAAACCATTCAAGACGATCCCTATCTCGCCCCGGATCGCCACATCATTGGAGGAGCCACCAGAGCTGGAGCTTAAGCCCCTCCCCTCTCACCTGGAGTATGCATTTCTCCAGGAGGGGAATAAGTTCCCGGTCATTATCATCTCGGATCTGACACCCGAACAGAAGAGCAGGCTGGTGGCTCTGCTACAGAAGTATGCATGGGCCATGGCGTGGAAGATAACCGACATCAGAGGCATTAGTCCATCCTTCTGCTCCCACAGAATTCTTATGGAGGATGATCCCGATGCGGACCGTGACTGGCTGGAGAGTCTGCATCGATTACAGGAGCCTGAACGATGCCACCAGGAAGGACCATTTTCCCCTACCTTTCATTGATCAGATGCTGGAGAGGTTGGTTGGCCATGAGTTTTATTGCTTCCTCGATGGCATGTCTGGTTATTTCCAGATTCCTATCCGCCAGAGGATCAGGCGAAGACCACATTCACTTTCCCCTTCGGTACCTTTGCTTACCGGAGGATTCCATTCGGGCTGTGTAATGCACCGGCGACCTTCCAAAGATGCATGCTGGCGATCTTCGACCGACTGATCGAAGAGATCATGGAAGTCTTCATGGACGCATAACATATAATCATTTAATAAGGTAAAACATTACTAACACAAAGACGCATAACATTTAAAATGATAATTCTCAAGATTAATGTTCCAAGATCATCATTTTAAATGTTATTTAATGTGTAACTCACATAATTCAAGAGGAAATGATAGAGCTCATGGTGCTTGGCTCTTGTTTTTCATGTTGTGTCAAGTTAGTTTAACTCAAATTAGAACTCCGGTCCGGTTAATTTCAACATTGTCTGCTAATCATGATTTAAAACTAAGAATATATGAACTCCAGTTGAATAATTAATGCTAGCGGCTTGGTAAATATATATTCATTAATCAATTAATTAGTTAATAATGATATTAATTCTTCCGCACCTACAATATTAGTAAAATTATTTTACCAATGAGTTCAACAAGGTAAAGGGAAAGAGAATGACCGAGCCCTAATTTGTTTTTTTTTTCTTTTCAAATGTTTTTAATAGGAAAAATATTTGAGAAGATCCCCATCATTGCCCTTTCCGCCAAAGCAGTTCCGCTTTTTTAACATTTGCTCAAACAACCTATTTTTTTCTCATACGATTTTAATCCCGATTTTGTACAATTTTACGATTTTAACGATTTTAATCCCAAGTTTAAACGATTTTAAGGTCCACCGACTTTATAGTAAAATCAGGATCAGACTTCCTAATTAAAATCCTACGATTTTACGATCAAAATCTCGATTTTGACTACTTTGGAGGATACTAATCTGGCACTCAGCTGGGAGAAGTGTCATTTTATGGTTCGTGAGGGGATTGTGCTCGGGCACAAGATCTCTAAGCAGCGGATTGAGGTGGATCGCGCGAAGATTGAGTCGATCAGTAAACTACCCCCTCCCATTTCTGTGAAGGAAATCCGCAGCTTTCTGGGTCACACAGGTTTCTAAGTGCGTTTTATTAAGGATTTTTCGAAGATTGACCTGTCTCTGACCAAGCTGCTGGAGAAGGATGCACCATTCCAGTTCACTCCTGAGTGCACAGCTACATTCGAGACATTGAAGGAGAAGCTTACCCATGCACCCATCATGGTGACTCCTGACTGGTCTCTTCCTTTTGAGCTGATGTGCGATGCGATTGACTTTGCAGTCGGAGCAGTTCTGGGTCAGAGACGCGAGAAGCACTTCCATCCCATCTACTACGAGTCAAAGACCTTGAACGATGCATAGGAGAATTACACCACCACTGAAAAGGAGCTACTCGCTGTGGTGTATGCATTTGATAAGTTCCGACCATATCTGGTGCTCTCCCATGTGGTGGTTACACAGATCACTCGGCAATTCGCTATCTGATGAGCAAGGCTGATGCAAAGCCTAGGCTCATCCACTAGATTCTGATTCTGCAGGAATTTGATATCGAGATCCGGGACAAGAAGGGAGCCGAGAATGTTGCTGCAGATCATCTATCACGGTTGGAAGCCCCTCCGGTGGACAACTTCATGGAAGAGATTGATGACTCTTTCCCGGGTGAGCGATTGCTGGCGATGACTTGGTGGACAGCGTGGCCCCTTGGTATTCTGACTTTGCCAATTATCTGGTGGGCAAGCAACTACCAAAGGGGATGGCCACTCATGCAAAGCGCAAGTTCTTCTCCGACCTAAAGCATTACTTCTAGGAGGATCCTTACCTCTTCAAGATCGGAGCAGATGGCGTGATCTGGCGCTGCGTCATGGAGCACGAGATGGGAGACATCCTGTCTCAATGCCACGAGGGACCTACTGGAGGTCACCATGGAGGAAACCACACGGCGCGGAAGGTGCTACAGTCAGGCTTCTATTGGCCCTCACTCTTCAAGGATGGAGACACCTTCGCACGACAGTGCGACCACTGCCAAAGCTCAGGTAACATTTCTTCCCAGGATGAGATGCCCCAACATATATCTATCGTTTGTGAAATTTTTTATCTTTGGGGCATCGATTTCATGGGCCCATTCCCTCCATCCTTTGGAAATTTGTACATACTGGTTGCAGTGGACTACGTCTTGAGGTGGGCAGAAGCTCAAGCCATGCCCACCAATGACGCAAGACGGGTCTGCTCATTTCCGAAGCAGCTGTTCTCCCGGTTCGGGTGTCGCTTTTGAGCAAAAAATGGTCGAAACAGGTGCTCTGGAATTCAACACGGCCAGGCCTAAATTCTGCACGGCCGCGTGGAATTCCCTTTGGCCGTGTGAGGGCCCTGGAATTTCCACACGGGCAGAAGGGGGCCGCTACACGGCCGTGTGAAAACCTCGGCCAGTCCGTGTGGAATTCTCGGCTCCACACGGCCGTGTGGACCTGCCCGTGTGGTGACCCGCGTGGCTATAAAACTTGCCGCGTGGCCGTGTGCGGACAGAATTCCACCCCCCTTGCCGGAAAAACTGCGACTTTTCACCCTTTTGGCAATTTTCGGCCATTTTTTGTGGGTTTCCCCCAACCAACACCTTATCGACTCTTCCCTCCTCCTTTTCGGCCTTTCCCTTGATTTTGGGGTGTTTGGGCCGGATTTGGGTCACCGGAGGCGTTTTCCTGAGAGACTCCGACGAGGCTCCGACGAGCACTTTCCGGGCAGAATTTTGAGCTTTCTTCAATTCCATTGCCTTCCCCTCATCATCCCT